AAGGAGATAATGTGAAATACAAACTACAGAAAGGATTCTGTGTAGTACGATTTCAAAGATTTCAACACTCGGTTTATGTCCATTCATTATCTGAAACGTATATCGTTTGGGTTAACCTTTGCAGGACACTGCGTTTAAAAGACTACGGTATCCAGACGTACGCAGCTGCAACACGACCTTCGCACACCCTGCGAAAGAATTTTATTCATTTTATGTTTTTCTTCATTGTTCAGTAATATAATTAAAAGATTAGTGTGCTTTAAATTTTAACAGAACATGTCTTTGGAGAAGAAGAGTGTCGCAGGTATTGAAGCTCTTCGCGAGCTGCTCAAGGAACTGAGTGCCAGACGTACTTTTGTTTATTTCACTGGCTCTCATGTTGATGGAAAGAGTTGGTGTCCAGATTGTGTAGCATGTTGGAGCATCGTTGAAACTTAATTAGATGAAGATTATGTTCAGCCGATCCAGTTGTGTCACGTGTATTAGAAGAGAAAGCTGTTCAAGACTTGGATGCCGTATTTGTGTCTTGTCATGTCGGACTTCGAGACTAGTAAGCTAAAAGTGTGTTGAAAACAAATGTTTGTCTCAATCTGTAGTTGGAAGGATCCTCGTTGTCCATTCCGCACTGAGAGCGACTTGAAACTGAACTGTATTCCATCGCTCATCGAATACAATACGGTAACTTATTATTTCAATGCCTCTTACTAACTTCCCCTCTAGAACGCTCGTATCATTGATGCTGAAGTAATTGATGAGAAAACAGTATTGAAGTTCCTTACTGCTAAACATTAGCTCCTTGATTGTGATTGGTGAAAGAAACTGTGATAAACACATTGTTATGGCTGATATTGTATAGGTCTGAATAAAAACGAATTGATGTACTCGAATAGAAAATCATTCTAATCCTAATCTCTTTCACATAACAGCCATCTACTGGAAAAGAAAGATTATTGGAAGTGATGTGCGTTCGGTACATCTCGATAGCTGAACTTCTTTCCCTCCAAAGCGAAAAGAGGAAGAAAAATCCTGAAAGATGATACTTCTTGGCATTAGTAAGAACATTCAAATGATGATTCAATTTGTTTCTTTGGGTCAGGCCTCTTGAGCTGGATGGGAGGGTATGCAGTGGTGCTTAAGAATGCGAACGGGTAATCTTACAAATTCCCAATGACTTTATAAGAATGTAATTTATATCCGAGGCAGCTTTTGTCTCGTGAAGTTCATTCCATTCGTACTTTTTATCAGAAAAATACACTGAAAATTGAGTAATATTTACAAAAAGGTAATCTTTCAGCTCTAAATATTTCCGTCTATCCCATGTATGGATTCATTTCCATTATTTTCACAAGGTTTCATATTGACGTACATGAAATTATCTCGATGGCAATAAAGCCATAAAACGATAGAGCAAACTAGACTTTTGCCTCACTTATCCGGCAATGCCTTGTTTGGGCAGAGCTCGTTAAATCTTAAGAGGCACGAGATATCCATCCTTCATCTTTTATACATCAAGCCAAGATCAAGATTCTGTTAGCCTTTTTTCCATTTTTCCATTTTCTGTTCTGCCATTTTTTCCAACCTGTAATCCAATTTGGTCCAACTTTCTGTTGCTTTTCCTCCATTGAAGCTAGGAAGCCTAGGATACGAGATGCTCTTCCATTGGAACAGTCTCTCATATTCTTCCAATGCTGTGCCATCGCTCTATCTTGAACTATTTTGCTTTTGCTTTCATTTCAATCTGATTATCCTAAGCGCCTACCAGCCTTTCTAACTGAAAAGAATCAAGGATTATAATTGAGCCTTTCCTTAAATAGTTTACGAACATCCATCTATTACTCTTTTCCCTTATCAAGATAGCTGTCCAATACACCAAAATGAATTCGAACATTTCATTATTTTCACACTTACGGAATTCCCTGAAAACTTCATCCTTTCAATATTTGGAGACGGAAAAGAGAAATAGTCAGTTAGTTTGCTCACTTCTCACATCGATACATATCTTCTTCTACTTCTTCTTCTTCTTGTCCTTTTTTTGATTTCTAATCATGAAAAGTTTGTGGTGGGAGAAGCTTTTACCTCATTTTGCTTCCGTGTCCATGTGTGTGAGTGTGTGTGTGTGTGTGCTCATGTCCATTCCATCCAATGAAACTGATTCTATAAAACAGATTTTGAGCTCAAAAACTGATTAGCAATAGATTTCGCTTTGGCTAGATTATTCTCTAAGAATGTATAAGACAAAACATACATATGCCAATCAATATGATTATGAAAGCCTCACGAAGAGGAATTCATCCAGTTTGGAACTTTATTAAATTAGAAAGCTCTCATAGTTTGATGAAGATGATAAGTTTCAAGATCTTAGTGTCGTCTGCCATCGGCTATGACTAAAAGTAAAGTAAGCATCAAACATTCAAAGTCATTTCTCGTTCAAGACACATCAATCTTAACCACACCTCTGTCATATATCCTAATTCATTATCGAGATTTCAGAGCGGAAAATGGCTTTGTTGTTGTCACCAGAGCAATTCTGTCGGCTCAGCGAATATTCAGCAAGTAAGTTTCTAAAATTTTATCTCCTCTCACGTTGCTACTCTTTCTAGATCCGACTTTACATGTCAAGGAGATGCTCGATGAGTTTCAACAAGGTGGAAAGTACTATCCTTACATATCTTCCAACTTTGAAGTAATTTTAACACATTACCATCAACTTCAATTTTCTCGTAGGATCAACAAGCCATTAGTTTCGAAGGAGTCCGAATATTTCTCCAAGATTATTTTGCGGATGTTCTACCAGCTGAGATGCTTGAACAGCTTTTTCTTTCCTTCTACAAGCCTGAAGAGAAAGGTAGACTACTTGAATTATATTCCAAGTTTCAATTATTATTCAAGAACGTCGAACGAGTCTGCTAGAAGACGCATTCAACACTATGCGATATCGCTTCACGGAAAATCTTCAGTCGTTAGCTGGTCGTTTGGAACGGTTTAGCTTGATGCATCTGGACAGTCTAGGCTCAAGCAGTTCGGGTTCTGGAGTTCTTTCATCTGCAAGAGCAACGAACTCACTTTCTGCACGTATTGCAAAGCGTTTAGCAGGCCATGCAGCTGCAGGAAAAAGTTCTTCATTAAAATCAGCCATAGGGATTCCTAACTCGATTACGGACACTGAGCGATTAATGGAACTATATGCAGACCTACGAATACCATTGAAACCACTAATATGCACACTTTCATTGTTGGAAGCTGATACACCTGAAAATAAATTAGAAGGTTGGTCAAGCATTCCGAAATATGCTAATTGAGTTCCCACGTACTTATTGATTGAATGATTAATGGGGTGTGTCGTCATTCGTAGATCTGGCAAGTACAGGGAACGGTTGCATTTTCCGAAATTCTATTTGTTCATCAAAATAAGATTAATATTGCAGTTGTTTTTCACGTTTATGATTCGGATGCGAATGGATATTTGGATAAAGCTGAAATTGATAGTATTATTGACCAAATGATGACGGTAGCCAGGTATAAGCAATGGGATACAACTGAACTAGAAGAGGTTAAACAGCACACTTGATTCTTCCGATAATAGATTCTTTGATTAGATTTTACGTCAAATGATGTCGGATATAGACTATGATAGTGATGGGATCGTTTCGTTAGAAGAATGGAAGCATGGCGGAATGACTAACATACCTCTGTTGGTACTTTTAGGCTTAGATACGGTTCGTTTGGGACTAGTTTCAATCAAGCATCTTCTCGGCTTAGTCCTTACAATTCGCTGAAATGAAAGAAGATGGTAATCACGTGTGGCGTCTTCGACACTTTTCTAAACCAAACTATTGTAATGCTTGCTGCTCTCTATTGGTTGGATGGGGAGGAAAGCAAGGATTAAGTTGTTCATGTAAGATTTCGTTCCCGTTCTTTAATAATTCGCAAAATGTAATTATAGTGTGTAAATATACAGTACACGAAAAGTGTGTTAGAACAGCTGCCAACAATTGCATCAAAACGTTTTCAGTACGAACATCAAACATAGGTTTGGCAATAAGACATTTAATTAGTTTATTCTGAATACATTTGATATTAGAAACACTATATCATCATTGGCAAGATGCTAATACAGCAGCCAAATGTGTTAAATGTAATGGAACTGTGGGCGCTTTCCAAGGAAAACGATGTCGTTGGTGTCACAACTATGTTCGTTACATCTGATATGGATGAGCATAATGTATATCACATATAGGTACATCATCGATGTATGTCTTCACTTCCACATGAATGCGATATGGGAGCTCTAGCCTACCATATGCTGCCTCCAACACACATCTTTCCGGCTTTTCTAGAACGAAAATCATGCTCGCATAAAAACTTTCAACCCAACTGTAATAATCTCTTGCAGGTGTTTTCATTTGCTCAATCAAGATCTAATCTTTGATCAAACTTTAGGCTATCTCTCCTGGACCGAATTCTCACCCTTTGCTCGTTCTGGTAAATCCAAAAAGCGGTGGTAAACAAGGGATTCGAATTCTACAAAAATTTGCTCACATTCTAAATCCGCGACAGGTGTACGATTTGAGCAAATTCGGTCCGGAACCAGGGTAAAAACAACCTTCAGCCGTATCTCAGCTCATCCTTCCAGTCTCGATCTATTCTCAGCCATCCCGAACTGTAACATTCTTGTGTGTGGTGGTGATGGAACGATTGGATGGGTTCTAGAATCGATGGGTTTGTTTGGCAACGTTGTTTTCAACTCCATTTTCATAATCTGCAGACAAAATCAATTTTCCACATGGCCGTCCGCCTGTAGCCATTTTGCCTTTAGGTACCGGAAATGATTTAGCCAGGTTATACACTAATGCTTTTTATAAGACACATTTCCATGCTAGATGTTTACGATGGGGAGGAGGCTACGAGAACGAAAGTCTTCACAAAATTTTAGACCAAATAGAACACGCGACAACGGTATGATCATTCCCAGAATGAACGTTGACAACCGATTATTCAAGATTCAAATGGATAGATGGCAGATAAAAATTGAATCAACGGACAAAGGTACAACAGAAGAAAAATCTTGGGATCATCCTCCTTATGCCATCGTTAATAACTATTTCTCAATTGGCGTGGTGAGCCCACTGGCAAACTTGCTGATTAGTTCCGAATAAGCCGGCCATCTTTCAGGATGCCTCGATAGCTCATCGTTTTCATGTTATGAGAGAAACTCATCCCGAGAAATTCAACAGCAGAATGAGGAACAAGCTATGGTATTTCGAATTGGGAACTACAGAAACGCTCAGTGCTTCATGCAAGAATCTACATGAGCAAATTGACATTTTGGTTCGAATAGTAACTCGTACAATCCATCATCTTAGTGTTCAGTGTGACGGAGAGTCAGTGGATATTGGCCAAGAAACTAGCTTAGAAGGAATTGCTTTGCTCAATATACATTCTATTTATGGCGGCTCTAATCTATGGGGAAATAGTAGAAAGGTTGAGCAACACGCTTGATTCTCATTTACTTCAATCTTTCAGAGAAGATTGCCAGGAATTTTGCCATTACTAAGTAGAGGATCTACTCATTTGAACAATAGAGTCCAGGATATAGGAGATGGATTAATTGAGGTTTGATCGTTTAAAAGAAAAGAATGAAACCATGGCGCTCAATGTGAAACAACCGCTCTGTACGTGTTCATCTTCCAAAATGAAAAACAATCGACGTGAGCTGTCAGACTTCACGTGAAAAACAAATAAATGCACTGAGCGAAAAGTATAATCGAGTTTAGGTTGTGGGGCTGGAATCAGCAATCCAGATGGGGCAGATAAAAGCTGGAGTGAGAGATGCTCGAAGGTTATCACAATGTGCTACCGTCGTTATACAGTAAGAGTCTGGTTGCAGCAAATTGCGAGCTCATGCTATCATTATAGAACACATAAAGCTTTTCCTATGCAAATTGACGGTGAGCCATGGATGCAACCACCATGCATAATTCAAATCACGCATAAGAACCAAGTGAACATGCTGATGGGTGATTGCTTTAGCTCTATCAAACAGTAACTTTTTCGTTTAGCACCAAAGAAACGAACAACTTGGTGGAGTATATCTCATCAAACACAATCAGAAGACAACTGACCTTTGCTCAAACTTCATTGAAAATAAATAATTCGAAGATTAGTTGAACCTCGTAAAAGCTACATAACAAACTAATATAATAAATAAAAACAATTCATTGAAACTTTTACAAAACAACTTCCATTTCATGAGAATGGCGGACAACTTCTCGCTATGAATAAGATAAAGATAACAGTTGTTGCTGATCACTAGAGATGATAAGTACGCTTCCAATATTACAGTTTTTAGCAGCCTAATATTATATTATGAAAACCTATCCTATACTTGGAGAGACTTGGTTGAAACTATCTCCGTTGAAGTGCTGAAACATCTTTCCTCACATCACATCTTAATAACTGAGAGACTTACAATGTTTTTGCTGACTCATAGCTGGATTATCTCTATAATGCACTTTAAACCATGCTAATAGCCTGTTGAGAGATTCGAACATGATGTACCGGAATCGTAAGCCTTCAGGTGTAACTGAACGACAAATATGATAGCAGGATAAGGAGATGACAGTTCTTACCCGTAATGTATTCATGCTTTGCTCTGCCGGTGAGATAGGATAGAACGAACTTTCCTGCCCATTCATTAACTGCTGGGGTGAAAGCATATCTGAGGAAATGAAATGTTCACAAGATTATCAACTACAAAAGACTCACGGGAAACGAGATGGAGCTTTTCTCTTCTCTTCGTTCAAGTGCTTTACTATGGCATCCATATTATCACCATAGATGTTATCAATGAAGCACTGAAAGTATGATGTAGAAGAATATCATGGGAGAAAAGATTTGCCTTATGCTGGATTATTTCTCTAGCGTTCGCAGCCATTGGTTGAATCCATCTGGCCAAAATTTCATTGAGATCTTCAAATTCTTCGCGCCTGCAAACGAAAATCCATACAAGCCAATCCGATCTGACCATACCTTTCTCTGGTGTCAATGTAAAGTTTCTTTCCAAGAGTGAAAGGTTGTTCCTTCTCCTCTTCGAAAACATCGATGTTTTGTAAAACTCCTTCAGCCACCTTCCAAGTGATCGTTAGACGATCAGTACCCTTCGACGATGGTCGAATCACGACATCTCCCTGGAAGAAAACGGATGTGACACTGCCATTGAATGAACTCTCACTTGTTCCATTTTACTCAACAATCGTTCAGCATCAGCAAACGTTATATTATAGAAGTTAGGGTGTTGGATAACACGTTTTACCCATTTGGTTTCTCGTTGCTGCAATTTGAAAACAGTACTTACATAGAAAGTTCACCAAAGATTACCTTCTTCATTTGCTGCTTCAGGAGGTCATCTTGTTGTATGTCGTCTTGTTCTGCATCGCCATCCCAATATTGGTCTTTAGATTCGTTCATGTCTTTATTAAGATCAGATGTCCTACTGGACAATAAACACGACATTTTTGAGGAATCAACACTCATTATTCTACACCAGACGAGACCATTTTTCTGAACACAAAGAAGTTTGATTTCAGAATTGAATGAAACGAGTCTTACTTGAACTTTTTCGAGAGGATTTTTGAATGATTCGGGATTATCACTGAGCATCTTGTTTGGAATGAAACCGAGAACATCGTTTTCTAAACGAATTTTAACGCCAGCGGGTACACCTGGGCAACCGCCGAAACGAGTATCCTGAATCAGAAGTTATGTTACAAAATATACAAGTTCTCCTTACTTTATTTGAGGTATGGGTCCACAATTCTTTCATCTCGTGGAATGAGGTATGGCAATGTTTACAAACTAACATATTAGCTGAGTTTCTATTCTGAAAGCAGAATACTCAGATAGAATCCTCATTAGCTAACTCACATGGGACTCGTCCATTCTTTCTTCTTCTGATAACTTCTTGTACTGAACTCCAATAACGGTTCCCAATACCCTTCGACCTTCGGAGAAATACTTTGTGTTACATAATAAACTGAATAATTCCTGAAATCAGAAGTAGAAAATGCAAGGCTCAGAAGTACATACTTCTTGAGAGGGAGGGAAGAACACAGGCCTATTGTCTTTGTAACGTTGATTGAGCTCGGCCGCGATATCGTAGAGTGTGTCTTTTTTCTCTCCAAAGCCCTGGTAAGCAATGATGATCAATATAAAAAAAGCGTGTCATACTTGTCTTTTCAACTCTTCTGCGAAAGCATCCAGATCAAGATCTCTCAATCTATCTGGAGTTTGTAGAATCTCTTCCAACGCAGCAGTGGGATCGGTATTATCATCGGCCTGAAGAAATGAAGATAGAGAAGAGCTCAAAACCAAAAAACTACTTCAATGGCATCGACAGCCATTTTTCTCGCCCATTCATACGTTTCTGGATGAACTCTTGAGCCATCCAAGACTTCAACATAGCCATCGGTTCGTTCAGCAACCTGAAACAGTATCTAAGTAAAGGACCAACTAGAATCACAAACCTTCTCCGTATCAATTTTCAGGAAACCCGAGGAATTCATAAATACTTTTGGACCCATTTTACATAATGTAACAAGTTTAGTACGACTTTCTAATAATCCGTCGTGTTGTTTGATAATTTTAAGAAGAGCGCCGGATTTTCTAGGTCCGAGCCCGGATATGAACTGCATAACATAAGAAGCATGATTATACTCGATACACTTATTAACGTCTACTCCAACATGATTAACCACAGTTATAAGTTCATGTTGTAAAGACAACATTAGATCATCCTGAAGATTTGAATTTTTATAAAAGCTCAATTCGAAAGTTAAACCTTGTTGATTTCCTTCTGAAGAGGATGTAACGCAAGGCACATGATGTCTTCCTCATGGTTGAAGAGATGACTTATTTCAACAAGGGGGTCCATCACATACCGCGCTAATGAAACGGCTTGTCTCAAAAGAGGAGGATAGTCAACATGTTCCGTCTGATAAAAACATAAGTTGAATAGAAAAATGGAAGAAAACCAACCATAGCTTGTCTTGAGTTCATGTACACTTTGGCAACTTCATTGTTCATGATTGCAACATTGGGCTTTCGTGAAATGGTATCATTTTCCATTAGCGTGCGCAGGACGTCCTATAACCATAACAATCAAATGGAAACAACGCTGAAACATACTTCGACATCTCGTTGAAGACGCATAGCATCCATATTCTCAGCGGCGATGGCAATAATATGAGGTCTCTTACGCTCAATGAATTTCTTGAGACTTTCCAAACGTGCCATCTGTAATTGAATGGATATGATTGAAGCACAGCGAAACACAAGCTGACCTTCTTCTCTGGAGTGAAGTTTGGTGGATTTCTCTGAGTGAAATTAACAAGTCTAACATAATCCATCACACTTCCATTTCGATCAATCAATGCACCGAACGCAGCCTCGTTTGGATCTGTTGGGTAAGTAATCGCCATGACCCTGGTATCAGCCTGAATGAATTTTCAACTTTAGCTTGAAAATGTCACAATTACAAGTCTGCTGAATTCCTCTTCGTCCTCTCCAAAATCATCATCAGGTTTGAAAGGAGCATGATCTATGCATTCAGCAATTTTTTTCGCACATTTCTGAAACAAGAAACTGTAAACATAATCAGAAGTCCAACTTACTGTGACAACACTCTTCTTTGCTTCTTCCAATAGTCTATCACAGAGTTCTTTCTCGAAATATGGAATGAGCAATTGATTGAGTGCCATCTTGACTGCTCTTTCTCTTACTTCATTCCAACCTTCCACCAACTCACTGTACTCGTCCTGAATAAACTCTTTGTTACACTTAAGGCAAGTATTACAAGCACCTTTTTGAAAGGACCATCGGCTAGGATTCGATCCACTAACGTGGTGCTAGTTTCTCTCTCATAATTGGAATCGCAGGAAACTGTGAACAACATGTTTCCCTGATCTTTCATCTGCTTGAAGTACATGAAATCCTCGTTTTCCAACTCCCGAATATCCTTATCTTTGAGATATCTTAATGATTGTATGTGATTGTGATGGTATGGTCATAATGAACCTTTGGTGCCATAGAGGATGAGTATCATCCATTTGCTCTCTACCTTGTTTTGTAGGTCGGGCACTCATCTTAACTCGACTGCGATACATTCTCCTAACTTGGTTGCGAACCTACAACATGAGATTTCCAATGAAAACACTCAAGAAAAACAAACTTACCATAGGCTCACAACTAATCTCCTTCGCCATCATATAAACGGCACCATTGACAACATCATCCACAGAGGGGAAAGCATTGGTGATGTAATCTTCTGCGGCTTTCATCACCGGAATCTAAAAGGAGAACAAAATATTGAAAACAATAACAAGTTAATTCTACTGGATCTTGTTGTACGTCGTGTTTCTTCCAATCCAAATTCTCGGCGAACTGATGAGCAGTCAAACCGAAGCGAGAAACCATATCACCGATTCCACACTCAACACACAACTAAGAATAACCAGAAACTTAAACGATGCACAGAATGAAGCCTACTTGGTATTTATCACTACGTAAGCATTGCTTGAATCTAGTAGCTAAGGCTGCTGTTTCGTCTCCTTCGCTCTGGAAACAGTTTTGTTATCGACATGGGAAGTCTTATAGGATATACCACTCTAGATCTTTCCCATTCTTGCATTCGAGCAATATCAGGACCGTAATATAGCTGGAATTTCGTATAAACATCGGCAAGGGCTTCCGCTGTGTCTACACAATAAACTCTAAACAAAACAATCTGCTTACATCATAAACATTTCCAACTTACTCGCTAATATCAGATTCTGTAAGTTGTCTTCTGGACAAAGGCTCTCCATCTAATAAATAAGCTTGCATCCTTTTCATCAGCTCCATTAACTGCAGAGGGAATATTGAGAAAAAATATTACGCGTTAATCACACCTTGTCCTTTCGATTCCTTAAATGGCACCACTTCTCATCGAACTCATAAATACGCCAGAGATCTTTAGTTTCGAAAACTTGTCCAACAATTTCTTTACGATAATAAGCAATAAATGGAACCTGGACATGAAAAACATGAAACGTGCTAAGATTCTTAATACTTACCTCGAATAACTGATTACGGATAAACTTGAGAATTTCTTTGATGACTGATATGGCTTTCTCTTCACGTTCAGCACGATCCATCTCACTGATATCTTTCAAATAAGCCGGAAGTCTCGAATCCTGAAGTAGAATGAACGCTTCCTGTATATGATATGCTACAACAAACCTGACGAGACAAAGCATCGTCATCACTGAAGGCATAACGGAAAATCCATTTTGCTTCTAGTTCAGCTTCACTTTCAGAAACTTCTGTGACGGGAGTTTTTCGAATTTGGAACCTTAATACACAGTCAGCTCGTCTCATCGCTGAGCATTTACCTTTCAGGTTTATCTTCTAATTGAATTTTCTTGTCCCGTGGAGCCAAATAACCTCTTTCTAATTCAGCAGGTTCCAGAGTATCGAGAAGTGTGCTTTTTTTGATCTCTTTACGAATTCTTCGTACCTAAGTACATACGATAAAGGAGAAATTGAAAAAAAGACCTACGCCTTCTCCTTCTTCATCAACTATTTCATCTTCCTCATCATCTAATTGCTCCTCATCTTCGTCATAAAAGTCGTCTAGATTAAAATCTTCGACGCCGAAAATTTCACGAGCTTCATCCAAAGCTCTGAAGGGATGAAAAGAAAAATTAGTCAACAGGACAAAAAGGAACGAACCCCTCCGGTAAGTTCAAATCTCTTCGCTTATTACGAGAGTGTACGGGCTTGCCGTCATATTCATTAACAATAAAATCATTCTCTAACAAATGGAAATATGAAAAAAAAAGTAAAAACGAAACGATGACTAACCACTCTGTTCAGAATCCGAATACTGCTCGGCGTACCTCTCTTCTTCGCGATGACTACTCGGTTGATCATCAGCATACTAATTAAGGAAAGATAACAAAAAAACGGAAACGGAATCACTTACTTTACCGAAGAGAGAATTTTGGATTTTCTTCTGATCATCATCTTCATCAGAATCTGAGTAATGTACGTTATGGACTGTGATCTCGCGAGGCCGATCTAGATTTTCCTAAACTGATTCTTAACAACACAATCCCTGATATGGAAATCTAACATCAATCAATTCGAAATCTTCTTCATCCAAATCTTCTTCACTAGCATTTCCTGACTTTTCTGACTTATCGTCATCTTTCTCCTCTTCTTCATCCTGATAAATAAATGCTTTGTTGGCATTATTAAAAAATTATAAACTTCATCTGCAATGAACTGTTTCATTTCTTCATCTTCTTCTTCATCATCATACTCATCTTCATCACTACAATCGTACTCGGTTAAGCTTTGTTTCATTGTTGCATTTTTATTTTTTTTTATGAAAAGTTAAATACGTGCCTACTCTGCTGTATGCGTTTAGACTTCTTTCCCTTGTGCTTTCCCTTTTCAAATTTTTGCTTTTTTGGTTTTGGCTGATCATCATTTGATGATGAATATCCGTCGGATTCTTCGGCTTGATTATCAAGAAAATCCATTCTGTAGAGAAAAAAAAACGTTAAAGTAGTAAGTAAGAATACAAATTTAATGCTGGAAAACAGGTATTATGTTAGAAATCTTTTGAACAGCATTTTTCTTTATGAGGCGTAAGACGCAGACAACGAGACACTACTAGAGACTGCATAGAGAGCATGCAGAGGGCGCATAGAAGGAGGTTTGGTCGATAGTGGAGCGCGCTCTGCACAACGGGGAAACAAGAGAGAGCACAGAGTGAGTATCGGAGAGTCGGAGAATTCGTCGAATACACAACTGGAGTATATGGAGGAAGAGCCTGGTGAGCGGACCCCTGCTCTGGGGGGTCAAAAAGCTCCAGACCGTCCCTCCAGAGTTCCGTCTATGAGAGGATCTTCACCTCGACGAATTCCTCTATTCGAACGTGCTTCTTCCCGTTGGTGGAATCCACAATTCCGCTCACCTAGCCTAGAAGCCCAGTATTGGAAATGCTCTTTTTCGCAACTACGAGATCGTTTTCGGTCTGGCTTAATCTATATTTCGTTTGTCTGTGTAGCTTGGGCACTATATTTGGCAATATTCGATAGAGCTAGTATTCATCATTGGGTAAGTACACGTATCGCTTTGACTTTCGATAGCAGTGTTAGAGACTTAACGCATTTTGATTGTTATTGATAAGGCGCAGCTGTTTACAATTTGCATCACACACACATGCAGAAAAGCTTCTCAAAAACAATCAGAATTTTAAACTAAATTAAAAAGAACAAAAAACTTGAATAAAACCAAAATTAACGAAACTTTTAATTGATGAAGAGACAAGAAAAAAGAAAAACAATAAGACGACGCTTCACTTCTGTTAATGTGCGCTCTAATGAAATTTTTGAAAATTTGAGTGTCAATATAGTCTGAAGTATATCATATTTGCAATTAAAACAATTTGGAGATATACATTTGTATAATAGAGAGTTAAAAGATTGTTCGAGCATTTTGGAGCTTTGAAGTGTCCGTTGAGACGCGAAAATTAGCTAAATATGTACTCAATTACCAAAGCAAACAACTTAAATGAGAGTTTTCAGATTGCCGTTGTAGCATTAGTGGCAACATGTTCTCTTATGGTCATTTTTACCATGTTTTCAACTCAATACCAAAGGTTTTATATGCCCACATCCTTTCTATGTACCTTCATCATCTCCCTGGTGACACTGTTAACTTTCTCAGCTGGGCCAAATGATGCCTTCATGACTCCAGTAGCTAGTCTAGTCACAAGTTTTCAGGTTCGTTCTGAACCTCCAATATGAAACCTATTGGTTTCTTCAGGTTGTGATGTTGATATACACAGTCATACCACTCCCTCTGTACCTTTGCATAATAATTGGAGTGATTTATTCTGTTTTGTTCGAAGCTCTAAGTACTAGCAACCATAACTTTGACAAAAACCCATACATAAAACTTGTTTTACACTTCGGAGTACATATGTTGGGGGTTCATCTGTTCATCTTAACCCAGGTATAGATAACAACACCTATGATTAGGTTTGAAAGCTTCTGGCTTTTATAGGTTAGACAGCGGAAAACGTTTTTAAAAGTTGGTCAATCGCTTCTGGCTCGTAAAGATCTCGAGTTGGAGACGCAGTTTAAAGATCATATGATTCAGTCTGTGATGCCTAAGAAGGTTAAGACTTGATAGACTTTCTCTCATTATATGTGAGCATCTTTAAGGTCGCTGATGAACTTTTGAAAGATGCTTCGGAACTAAGGCGTCCTTCCGCAAGTCAAGGATCACATTGTCGCACAAGCAATGGGACAGCGAATGGCACCAACGATGACGCTGGTAATGCGAGGGTTTATAGATCGTTTTTCATAATAAGACCATATTAAGGAGCTATGCTTCCCACTTCTGTGCCTGCTGGCCATCGTAAATTCCGTCCATTCACCATGAATTTGATGACGAATGTCTCAATTTTGTTCGCCGATATTGCGGGATTCACGAAAATGAGTTCGAACAAAAGTGCTGACGAGCTTGTGAATCTGTTGAATGACCTTTTTGGAAGGTAATAATGAAACTAGCACACATCAATACACTCCAATAGGGCGAATAATCAAATGCCTATGTGTGTGTGTGTATATATGGATGGACATAATCTAAACTATTTTATAGATTTGATCATTTATGTCGATTGTGTGGCTTAGAAAAGATCAGTACACTCGGTTAGTCGTGGTAGCTCAAATGTCATTTGATGTTTGATGGCCTTTTAGGGGATTGTTATTATTGTGTTGCTGGATGTCCTGAGCCATGTGATGATCATGCTAAACGGACAGTTGAAATGGGATTGGAGATGATAACTGCTATTCAACAATTCGATATTGATAGAGGTCAAGAAGTGAATATGCGTGTTGGTATTCATACTGGAAAGGTTCCCATATAGCTTCTCATGCAATTCTTAATGAAATCCCTTTGAGGTCATGTGTGGTATGGTAGGAACTAAGAGATTCAAGTTCGATGTGTTTTCAAACGATGTCACATTGGCAAATGAAATGGAATCCAGTGGTTTGTGTGACCAAGATGATAAATCTCAAAACTATCTTGATAAGGTGTTGCTGGTAGAGTCCATATCTCTGAGGCGACGGCCAAATTTCTTATGGATGGCGATTACATACTAGAGGCTGCTGATGACTATTCAGGTTTGTTCTTCAACCCTTTTTGTGCTTTTTTTGCCCTCTCGCATGCCCATATTGGTTACAAGGGTAATGGTTTTGTTGACATTTTGTTGCTATTGATGTTACTTGAGGTTTATTGCTTTTCTCAAGAGGCATCCTTCAAGACTCTTAGAAAATTTTGCCGGCGATGAAAATGTTTGAAATTCAATTTCTCTTTAGGACCATATCGAATGCAAGTGCAAGGAACGGAAAGAAGAGTTAAACCGGAAAGTATGAAGACTTATTTCATCAAATGCCGAGCATCGGAAGTCGAGGATGTGGTCCGAGTGACGACAGTGTCCGAGGCTCAATCACAGGCTCTTTCCAAGAATGGCTCGTTCAAGAAAATGACGTTGAAGCAGGTTATTGGAGAAACAAAGAAACATATTAAATGATATATTGTTATGTAGAAATTGGCTGGAAAACTGAAAATGTCTCATACAAACTCATATCCAGTCAGGAGTAACAATGGGGGCTCTTTACGTATGAAATTAGCAGAGAGAAATCGATCGACTCAACTTCTCTCCAAAGAGGTTTGTAACAAGTAGCCATGAATTATTATGTGTTTATGTTTAGTCCAATTCGATTTGTGTGATGGAGGACAACAGGAAGTCAGCCTCGTTGCAGGCTTTAGCCACAAATGCGTTCAATGGTAAATAATGAAAAACAATCGGCAAACATTTGTTCTAATTAAGGAAGCAATCCTGAGACTCGAAACTCTTATGCTGAAGACTTGTGTGAGAGAGCTGTTCCTGGTAGTGTTAGCGGTAGCAATAGCATGAGAGGATCTAGAAGTAGTGGACTCCAAGTATGTTCTTACTTCCATCAAAAAGTTTCAAACTCTTTTTCTCGCTTTCCAGGCTTCACTGCATGAAGCTAATTCTGATCTGAATAGTGTTGGAGGATTAGATACAGCTATCTCGCATCATCATAACGCTGCTTCCTTAACGAGGTTCTTCATATCCCACAACGTGCTTTTTCTCTAAATTCGTTTTTCTCTCTCTCAGATTTGACACAGACAACAAAGACTTCGATCAACGACTGGCTATTGCCATATCCCAGGGAGAAACAGATTTTGACAAAGGATTTTGGGGACATCATCACAGTCTCAATAAATGGACTTTGCGATTCAATGAAAAAGTAAACGAAGAGATGCTAATGCGAGGACTATGATATGCAACTTTCAGGAAGTTGAGGATGAGTATCGAAACCACTTCGCTGATTCAGCCGAGAGAGGGAGTTACGTACAGAGTAACTCAATTAGAAGACATCAAGTTAGTCATTAACCTGTAAACTCTTAGTAATCTTCTAATTTCCTTAGGATCTTGCTAGAGTTCATGATTCTGCTACTGCTCCCCAATATAGATATTCGGGAGTCTTCATAGGTTCATCTACTAGTTTTGAATATGACGTCTAATGACTTACTCCTTCAGATATAATTGTAGCTTCTATGATTTTCCTAGTTGCTTCCGTCGTAGTTTTCATGTCAGCCAGTGAAATCACTCTTCGTTTGGTGGTTTATTTCTGTGTTGCTCTCACACTCATTATCGCTGCAGTTGGCTTCATTGGTGAGATTCCAAAACAACTCGAACCAGACGTTATACTTTTAAGGAATTCCATTACTTAGCCGAAAACCAGTTATGCCATGGCTCAACTCGTGGAAAGCTCGGCATTTGATAGGTTTCTTGTTTGGGGAAATTGAATTATAGAAACATTCTTTGCAGGATCTTTGTTAATGGGATTAACGGTCGGTGTTGCCATCTGTGTTATTCCTTTGTGCATTTACGAGATGTGCTCATTTGATATTCTGAGTCCTATGCTAGATCAAAGACTCATATTCTCATACATCCTGACTCTATCTCTGTTTGCTCATTGCAACTTCTCACAGTTAGCTGCTTGGCCCAAGACTGTCCAGGTATGCGTAAAGTCGGATGTAGTCAGATTTTGATTTTTGTTCAGTGCGGAATCATTGGTCTCTTCCATGTGGCTGTTGTCTTCTACTGCCAACATAATATAATTCAAAACTTGGTTGTTTCAAAATCTCTTTCTTTAATTCTTTAATTCTACTCTCCAGGAGACTGGCGCTTGTACCAACAACGTTACTCTTTCCGATCCAATCAAGGCAAAGAATGATACCGACCAAGTTCTTCTATCACCATTACTACTCTGGGAAATAACACTGGATGTCATTCTTTCCATTATTTTGGTTGGATTTTTGAATTATCAAGTAAGACAACAAAGGGGGATAATGAAATAATACTTTTGATTCGATTTCAGTTCGAGGCAGCTTTCAGAATGTCATTCTTTGGAGATATTCAAGCTAAAAGGGATACAGATCGGATGCAGGTGCGAGCTTTCACTTCATATGCATGAAAAGTCTTTTTTTCACAGATTGTGCGAGATCAAGCAGATTGGCTATTGAACAACATCATTCCCGCTCACGCTGTTGAAACATTGAAAACAGACACCAAATACAGGTTTGTCATTACATATTAATTTCAACCAAAAAAAAAAGATGGGAGCAGAATAAAAATATGGCCACCTCGTGTAGAATGCAACCGCTCTTCGCGCTAAAAATAGTTTGAATAAAGCCGGCGAACTGGCAACAGCCAATCTTTCACGCCTTTTTGAATAATTTGTTGTTTTCGTCAAAATTCATGGACTTTTGAGAATTCAAAAAAAAAACTTTCAGTGAAAACCACGAATCAACTGCTGTTTTGTTTGCCTCAATAACAAACTGGAACGATATGTATGAAGAGAATTTCGAAGGAGGAAGGGAATTTCTTCGCGTCTTGAACGAAGTATTTGAATAGACCATATGAATCAGTACTCAAACTATCTTTTATCAGGTCATTGGAGATTTCGATGAGCTGTTGGATCGTCCAGAGTTCTGTCATATTGAGAAAATCAAGGTGCTGCTTTTGAAAATATCAAATGACTTTTAATCTTCTCAGACTATTGGAGCTTCTTATATGGCAGCCAGTGGATTAAATCCTGAGCAAAAGAGGAATATGAAACATCCCAAAGAGCATCTGTATCAGGTTTCACAGCATTATTTATTTAAATAATAATGTTTGAATACAATAGATGGTAGAGTTCGCATTAGCTATTCAGCATGCTTTGAGTGTTTTTAATGAGGATCTTCTGAATTTCGACTTTGTTTGCAAACTCGGCCTCAATATAGGTGAGAATGTTTTGAACGGCAGAATAAAAACTTCTGAAAAAAACTCCAGGGCCTGTCACAGCTGGTGTTATTGGTACAACCAAACTCTATTACGACATTTGGGGAGACACAGTCAATATTGCTTCCCGAATGTACAGTACAGGGGTTCTGAATAGAATTCAGGTACAACCATATTAGGATTTGAACTTGAAAACATATAAGCATTATATAGGTTTCCCAGCATACACGAGATTTACTCATGGATCGATACGATTTCGAATACAGAGATCACATAGAAGTTAAGGGAATCGATGGTGGCATGGACACCTATCTGCTTGTAGGGCGTAAGCCTGAATAATATTTCAGCATAATTACTAAAAAAGCATAATTTGTCGAATAATTTCCATAATTTAACATTTTCGCATAATTTAGTTGCTTGAATTCTAAAAGCTTTACGAAAAGGACTGTTGCTTGCCATAGATAGCTACGGGTAGTTCTTAGTAGCAAAATTGTTTTTTTACCATCTCGTATCTCCTGCTATAGCTTTATTGCATTTTTTTTCTTTCTCCTCCTCCTCCCTCTTTCTTTCTATTTCTTTCTCTTTCCTCGCCCCATCTCTCCCTCTCTCCAATCAAAATGTATATAAGATAGTTAAGCTGAAAATAAATTTTTATTTTCCGACGACAGAGACTAATATGGAGAATATACACGTGTGAATATCTATCGTACCAGTACTAAAAAATAGAAGAAATTCTAATATTTCACAGTTGATAAGGGCACAGAGGTTGAAGAACGCTGTAATCGGAACTGCTGAAAAGAAAATATACACAAACAAGTTGAAGGGAAGAGAAGGAAGAGTCGCACAAACACAAACTTCTTCCCTCTTTTCCACTCAATCACAACAGGCGCATAAATTACAATGTACAATTCCATATTCATGGACACAGATGAAGATTGGAAGACGAGTTTAACCAGCAGTATGATTTGAGATGCTCCCTAGAAGGCTGGTGCTATATCACAGACAATCATAGAATGGAACAACAACGGCAAACACCTGAAACCATGGAAATCATCAGCAACGATCTGCTTGTATGGGAGTCAACTGATTACTTCATCGGTCTCGCTACCGTATTCCAGAGCAAATTGGTATTGTCGCCCTCTTGCCCAAGACATGTTTAGATCATTTCAGCTTCTACAAGAATTGGTCTAAGTCAAGCAAAAATTATATGTAAGCTGTGCTGATGAGCAACAACTCAGATACTGCACGGGGGCAGCTGAAATGATTCTTTAGGTTGACTATTAGCTAAAAATTGATTAAAAACAGAAGAAGTCTCGAACTGGACGACTGATGTTAAACTCAGGTCAGTTGAACGTTAACACACAACGAGATGGAAGCTTCTGTTTTGAAACTTCCTTCTTCTGTTTTTAGAATTCGAACGACGACAGGATTCGACAGTTTCAAAAGACATGTCTTGGCGTTAGATTAGGAGAGAAATGGAGAGACAGAAACAGATAGAAAGAGAAGAGCTGAGAGGTTGAAAGATGTTCGAAAGTTCCAAATTTAGAGCAGAGACACCGGATTATAACTTTCGTGCCACTCTGAGGTCAGTTGACGACAGGACTAAGCTCTATGATTAGCGTACGGATAGCCAACCTATTGAATGATACAATACGCACCAGCCCTCGGATGTTGATGATTTACAGGTGGAGTTGCTGGAGCGAAGTAAGCTTGGATCTGGACAGTTGGTCGATGGGCCTGGAAAGCATAAGAGAAGTAATGACAAAATGAGATGAGGAAAACCTTGAACAAGTTGATGGCATCTCTTGACACATTCGGACAATCATATAAGTCGATTCTCTTGAGGTTTTTAGCATTTCTCAAGTATGAAAGTGCAGTGTCTGATATCAAAGGACAGTTGTCCAACTCCAATATCTGCAAAAGGGAAAGAGTGGGCGATGCATGAGTCTATAAATGGAAACTGAATTATAGGCTACTCACCCTAAGTTTTTCTTTGTTATTCGTGCACAACTGATGGATGGCATCGTCAGTGATTTGCTCGCAATGCGATAGAATCTGAAATGACATGATTCGTGTCTGTTTTAATCTTTGATAAATGCTCACCAAGTCAGCCATATTTGGACAATTGGTGCTAATACACGTGATGGAAGCATCCGATAGTAAAGTGCAATCTTCCAGATCCATCTTCTGAAGCTGCTTACAATGACGTCCAAGCTGCAGAAAGCCCACATCCGACAGCAAGTTGCAACCGGTAAACTCAACAGCTCTAAACGGAGGGGATCATCATAGACATATGCGTAAGAGTATAGGCTTACTTGAGAAATTTGCAATTATTAGCTAACGATATAAGCGAACGATCAGTAATTTGAGTACATTGCGATAAACAGAGATATTCAATTTTTGGTGATCCACTTGCGATGTTAGCCACCGTATCATCAGTAACCTGGAACAACAAAGAGAGAGTACAAAAGACTGGCGAAGTTTAGTTTACAAAGCACGATAACATGTTTAAGCGTAATATGTTTCCCATATGTTGTTCCATTTCTTCGAAGCAGCGTTCTGTTAACTGAAAGACGGAGGGATGAACACATATGAACCTGATGACAATGAACTAACCCCTTCGCATCCTCGTAATATTAAAGTATTCATATTTTTACAACCCGTTAATATGCTATGGATTCCTCGGTCCGTTATATTGTCACACCACGAAAGATTGAGGTAACGTAAATTTGGGCATCCTTCGCTGCAAATTCAATTTGCTGCTGTTCATGAATACAACTCAATCTAACCTAATATATTTACAAGCCCTATCTGTTATAGCCGTACAGTTCTCCAAGTTTAGATGGAGCAATCGATGGCAATGTTTTCCCAGATTTTCACACGTTCTTGAAAATACTTTTTGATCTCGTGTTAATGGGAAGGATTGTCTTACGCGTCTGTTACTCGTCGACATTTGTAAAGACTTAAATGCTCAATGTTTTTGCAACGAGCTGTGAAAGCACGTAACGATGAATCCTGAAACAAGCAGATAGCATGAGAGGAGTCAGCCGACAATCGCTTACTTGAACATTCTCGCAGCCTTTTAATGATAGTTGTTTCAAAAACCCTCCACATCGTCTCGCTAAATTCTCAATCACACTGCTCTGAGAATTTTTTGAATTTCGAATTGTCCAGTTGAAACTATTTACGACATACTTTTACATCTCTTTGAAAAGTGAAAAGATCAACACATTGCCAATTACTGCCATCAAGAGCGAGTTGATTCCATAATCGACAAACTTGAGCTGATCGACAGAGGTCTTTCACTCCCAAAAAGGAAAAAATACTGAAACGCAGCAATAGTATGATGTGTAGGGAACATGATTTTTCAAATAAAATTCAAAAAAAATAAGAAAAGAACTTACTGTAGTAAACACTCTTTCGGAAGTTTATTGATGAGGGCTGTTTCCTGTGACGACGACAAAGTCGTAATCAGGTACATCTGAAGCTATACAAACTTTAGACTGAAAAGTGTTTTTGCTATCTCATAACTGCCAGGCCATTTTTTATGATTGAGACTGTTAAGGAAACTGGAAATTGATTATTGTTCCTTTTCAACTTTCACACCAAAATATAAAACATGTCGACTGGCAACAAGGAGATGGGGAGATCAGAAGATGGCTTGGGAACACCGAACTTCAGATCTGACACAAACATACAAAAACGATGACTATTAATTATTCCTAATATGTAATTACGATATGTACGCACGAGACAAACTCCGCTAGCAAACTCTACTAAAGTACATGGGATTATATATTTACAAGACATAAGACGCAAAAGGAATGACCAAGTAGTTGTGTTTTCTCGAAAAGAATAAAAAAATTCTTTTTTTTCTCCAAAAAAAAAACAATTGAAGGATTAACCTGATTATGTTTAGCCTGTATCGTTGGACGGGAACCTGATGATATATAACGCTTTTTGACACGACGTGAACAGGCGCCTCCATTGATATTCTGTAATGTTTGATAGGTCAAAAAGTAAAAGTTAAAATAATGAATTCTGAAGTGAAGAGGAACGTTTCTTGTCCACATGAGCAATTAGTTGAAAAATATCGAACGAAAGTCACGTGAATGACGTAGGAGCTAGATGGTCACGTGAAAAACGTAGAACACATCAACTGCACGCGAATTACATTTTGGCTTAAAGCAGCAAAGCAGACCGGTTGATTAAGAGTTTATTTGAGAATCATTTTTTGGGGTAGTTCGGAAAAGGGTTGTGTTTATTCTGTTTGAACGGTGAATGACAACAATAAAACGTTTAAAACAAAATCAAAAGCTTATGATGCATACCTCCACTGGGTGGATGTCTTGTTCAGAGTCGCCCGCACTCATAGACTCATAACCTTAAACAGATTGATTAAAAGAATGAACGATATCATGACCAAAAGAAGTTATAAGCAAATGCAGGCAAGACTCAAGGAAGAAAACAGAACAGATATCTGTTTGATATCCCATAATGCATAGTATACATGAGACCCATGAGACATCGAATAAGCTGTAGTTTGAATGCCTCGGATGCAACCAATCTGACAATACGTAACACCCAAATAAGGAAAAAAAGACAAAAATATGAGGACTATGTGCTCTTGCCTTACACCAATCGATGAGAACACAGCAAAACAAGTAGGCAGTCTTTTTCACATAGCGTTAGAGGTCGAGATACTTAGATGAGACGAACGAAGAACATAGAACTTGGAGTACGCTACTTGCGTTCGTCAGCCATTTTCCATGATTATCACATAGATTTTACTGTTAGTGAACAAAATCATAGCTGCACCAGCACAAAGTCTTCTTGAATATTATTGTCTAACTGAGAACAAAACCAGAGAGTACGTCTACGCCCATGGGCTTGCCCGTCGCCGGTCACGGGATTCGCTCAGCTGAGTGCTGTCTGGGAGAGGGAGCGCCGGCCCAGAAGCTCTCTGGGCTGCATGTTGTTCCTCGCCGCTAGTTATCTCTATACTCTCATGCCACGCAACAATATTTAGCTATCCATCGATACTAGGTCTGTCAATTTTAACTCTCGCACACGATCACGCTATTTCTTCACTCAGCTGTTTGTCACTGACCAACTTCTCGCAGCAGTGGACGAAGCCCGTCACCACCACGTACCGTTTTGTAGTCATGTCAAATAACAATTTTAAACAACTAAGACTTTTGGTTATTCTATTTTACCAAAGTAGGAGAGGAAATAAAACTTGAGAGAAGACTTGCCTCGTTAAGGTATCAGTTGAAGAGGAGTCGATTTCGATGAGCCCACGTTCCGCCAACCGTACGTATCCTTTCTTACTAGTTTGAGCCTGAAGAAGTTGATGAGAATAGTTTTCATGTTTGCATAAATACATTCAAAGGTTTTATAAATAATCCTCTATCGTCACGATTGATAACAATCCTCCGACTAATCAATTTGCCCCATAGACGACCTAATGAAGGTCTATCTTCCCCATCCATGTTTATCTACAAAAAAAACAGATTAAAACTCAAAAATCAGTTTCATCGAAACTAACCAAATGGTTTGACAGCATTACTGTCAGTCGTTTATTGACAAGGTTAGTCAAAAGACTCAGAATTCCTTTTTGGCAGTCGGATCCTCAAAGCGAAGGTTATAGTGACGAGATGACCATCAAGACTTCTACCTCCCGTCTTCAACGTCCAAGCAGTTCGATTTAGAATAGTCCCGATATTGTCAATTATAAGCAAGCGACATCCTAGTTGTTCGAAATTTTTCTGAAAGCTTCAAGAAGCATTTTGAACTTGAGTTATGGTCTTACTTCAAGCATTTGTAGTTTTCTTATCAATTCGCGAGGCTCATGGACTGAAGATACAAACAAGCGATCCAGGATGTCAATCTTAAAGTAAATACAACATATTTAGTGTTCATATTGACAGACTCTCTTTTCGCTGTCAAATTCCAGAAATCTTCGAGATTTGAAAGAGCCATTGGAATCTATCCAACAAACACCGAATCGTGATTGTGATAACAAGTATTCTTTGGCTATGGACATAAGAAGCTGAAAACCCGGATGATGAGAAGTTGGTTTTCATGTTTGCACCTGCGTCTTCCCCATCCCACTTTCCCCTACGATTTCATATATCTCTCCAGGATTTAATCCACCTTTGAAAACTTTATTTACAGAATCAACTCCAAATGAGAATTTAAGCTTAAATCCTACTCTCGCTAAAGCCTCAAAAGCAGTTTCCATCTATAAAAAAGGAATTTGAGCTAAAGATTGCATTTGCTGGGGGAGAAAACATCATAACGACAACCGTAAAGTACTAAGATCATTCGCATAAATTACAGAAACTTTTAATTCTCAAATTTGGAAATTATGGTGTTGTACAGTATGAATATCGGCCATGTTTGTTAGTTAGAATAAGTTATTGAGGTAACATGGGTACGATCAAGTGTTCAGGTGACATCAGATTATATTTGGTGACATATGTGGTGAATCTGTAAAATTCTTTTGTCAAACTTCATCCCATCTACCTCTGTCTCATACCTTTTGCATAAGTGTGTCTCGTTCTCAAACTCATCGAACAGTTTTCGGTGATGGAAGTAGGCATGGGAGAATATGCGGTATACTCTTCGACAAACTGATCCCAATTTTGAAATTGAAGATTCCTTAAACAGATTTTTGCTTCAAAGTACATCTGTCATGAGACTTACTTTGATACTTAAACGATTAGGGAAATATTTATTACTATTCAACAATGTGTTGGCGCCATCCAAAGTATGTCTTGTGTAGTCTATGGCGGAACACTGAAAATCACAATATCATCGTTTGCGACATGAATAGCATTCGTCATACCTCATTAGGATTTTTATGAGCAGCACACAGGAATATCCATTGCTCAGTTGCTGTCATTTGGACACATGTCTCGGGGACACATTCCTCCTACAGCAACAACTTTTTAGAAAACATAGAAAATTAAAAAATAACCTGTAGTAACAAGGTTAATCCATTAAGTTGGAGACAGAATTGCCTCAGGTGCTCGTATTTCCATACGCCTTCATCCTAAACCAGAGAGAACTAGCATAACGAAGAAGTTTCAAATACTCACCTGCTCAGGTGGTGGGGTTAAAATAACTTCAATAGCAGAAGGATTCGAATCAATCAGTTGTTGAATATATTGTTGGACATTTAAAATAGAATCCATGTTCTCGAATGGAAGTGTGGGCCATTTTGACCAGTCCTATGTGAACAGATAATATATATAAGCCAATTCAAATGTATACCTTTCGTTTTGTTCCAGGGTCGTTTCGTCTTACGATTCTTCCTTCGGTTAAAGCCATTGACCCGGTGTTAGCTGAAGAAAGAGATGAATAGACAAAATATGAAACGACTTGCAACGATAGAACATATAGATAAAGATAGCAAATAAAACGAAAACTTTGAAAAACATTTTATTTTGCTTTTCAATTGAGACTCGTTCAAATGAAAATGTTTACTGCGTACGCAGTTGAAGCTACCGTATGAAATATTATTTTTACTTGTAAACTCCAGGAGCGTCCATAAAAGGATTATTGCAATTCTCATGCATATCTAATCAGTAGTCGTTATGGTAATGAACTGAACCTTTCTCGCGAAGCTCTATTATCTTCCAGATAATACTTTCATAACAATTAATAACCAAAGTTTGAGAGTTCAGTTCCTCTCACTAACATCAAATCAATATAAAGAAATGTTATTAGAAATTCTTCTCATTCAAGAGTCATATGTTTCTGTTTCCATGATTTCAAAGCTCTACTACTTCCCTCTCATTCATTTCATTCTTGTTTAGAACCCGAAAATGAAATGGTTTTCTGGCAAAGTTGATATAGCCATCCAAGTTTCCGCAAGGAACAAAGCATTGCTAGTGGTTTTCATTGATTCCGCAGATGAGAATGGAGAGGCAATGGATAAAGTATGGGGCGAGGTAAGAACTCAATAAACTCTTAGGATAATACGCGTCTTCGTAGATTGATAACTCTATCCTCAGTTGTAATCATATAGCTCTCAAGATAAAGGATGAGGAGGATGTTGCTAAAATAATATCTTTATTACGTAATATTCTTCTGCGCTAATGAAAAACTAATGGAAAAGTTTTAGCTGAATCAGAAAGATTCGACGCTCCTGTGTCACTTTTCATTACCAGTGCTGGGGAAGTAGTTGGAAAAGTTACAGCAGCAGATGTTGCACAACTCAAAGATGTAGTCTCACAAGTTAACCAGGTTTTGGTCTCCAATTTTTGTTCTGATCTAAGCCTTCGTTCATATAGAAACTTGCTCCCAAAAAAATTGAGAGCCAAGTTATTCCAATCATTTCTTCTTCTGCTTCTTCTTCTTCTGCTTCTTCGACTGCTCCTTCCTCTGGCCCTACCACTGGTGCTTCGACATCCCAATCTGAAGACCCTTCAACATCAAGCACAGAGACCCCACCTCGACCACCTATCAGTCGAGCTGAGAAAGAGTTGTTATTGCAAGAGAAAATGAATAGGTAGTGTATTTGGGTTAACAATCACCGCAGAATTTCTTCAGAGCGAGAGTGTTATTGGAGCAGAAAAAGAAAGCAGATGCAGAGTTGAAACGACGAGAAGAAAAGAAGAAAGAAATGGAACGTATCAAAGAGAGTAAAATGGCAGCAGAAGCTGCGAAAAAAAGACAAGAGAAGGTATCAAACTCTCATGGTTCGAGAAGTATGTGTGCTTCAGGAAATGCAAGATGCCGCAAAGCAGAGAAAAGTTGATCAGAAGATGTTAGAGCAAGAAAGATTGAGAGTTCGAGCACAGTTCTTGGCTGACCGGTAAAACCACTTCAACGTTGAATTGTTTCACACTGTGTTCTTTTTGCAGAGAAGAGAAAGATTTCCGCGAAAACCGTACTGGAGCTGTTAGTTCGGAAAATGTAAGGAGAAGAGATACACATGTCGCTCCCCCCGTTGACAACGGCCGGTTAGTTTTCTTCTCTTGTCTCAACCCTATATGAGTCCACGTTTAGAGCTCGCATTCTGGTACGCTTCACTGATGGAAGAACTATCACGGAGACCTACGAATCTTCGAGTCCTCTTACTGCTGTAATAGACAGTATTAATGAGGTAACATCAGGTTTTTTAGATTCTCTTATTCGTTCTGTAACTATAGAGTGGGTTCATCTCCAAACCATATACACTTGTTAGACCTTATCCAAGAACACAGTATGCAGTGTCCGATTACACTAAGTCATTTCTCGAACTACAATTGACTCCCAGCTCTGTTTTGTATGTCCAAGAGGTATCAGCTCATTTTACTTCCAAGAAAGTTTAAATGACTTTTTCAGGAACCCGAAAAGAAAGGATTCTTCGACCAAGGCATCTTCTCCCTTTTCTCAATGGTAATCAAAGCTCCATTTACCGCCTTGAGTACCATTTATGGCATGTTTTTCGGCACACCTCAGAGAACGCTCAATGTTGATGGTATGTTTGGAATCATGTTTCACCGAAAGTTCTTTTTCATTCAGAAGGTCCAACAGTTAGGAGTCCTGAAACTGCACGACAAGTAAGGGACATGGATTCTCTAAGAGTTAGATTTCTCTTTTCTGCTTTACCTTGAACTATTCGCTTTAGCAACAACGGGTTACGCGTTTGCACAGTTCAGAAGATAGTGAGTCAGATTCCGACGAGAATCCTAACTGGAATGGAAACTCAACTCAATACCTGTGATTCTTCTGTGATATTCCAAAGAACAAATTTTAAAGATTACTTTGTGTATGCACTACGTTCCTTCCTTTCAAATCGGTTATTCAATATCCTTTATTTATGAACTCGTATTCTTTTGCGAAATAAAATGATTTTTAAGATGTCTCTTGGTTTGGAAATTTGTATAGACTCATATCACTCAGCCAAAGCAGCTATAGCTGGCGGTAAGCTGACAGGTTCCCTTTCAATGCTAAGGATCTAATTCACATGTAGGTGCTGATCGACTTGAGGTTTGCAGTTCTTTGGCTTTGGGTGGACTGACTCCATCTATAGGTATTGTGAGAAAATATTTTTGACTAGAGATTTGTTATCAAAGGGCTGGTACGTATGCTGAAGAAAACGTTTCCTGAAGCTCCGTTATTCTGTATGTTACGAACTAGATCCGGGAATTTTAGCTACAGCGAAGTAAGAAAGTCTCATGCAACCCTACATGGCTTTTACTAAGGATGATCTGAACGTGATGAAAGAGGATTTGATTGATCTGAAAAACGCTGGAGCTGCAGGATTTGTTTTTGGTTTCCTTGATGAGTTCTTTTAAGGTCCTTAAGCCTTGAATTTTCTTTCATTTGAGGGAGTTTAATTTGGATGTAAAAACTTGCAAAGAATTCATTGATCTTGCCGACAAGCTTCCTTGTACTCTTCATAGAGCCTTTGATGTGGCTCAAAATTGGAAAAGATGCTTGGATGAAGCAGTTGAGATAGGTTTCAAATATATTTTGACGAGGTAAACTAGTCCGCGAAGTGTTTTGAAAACATCTCATAGCGGACGGCATGCAACTGCTATAGAAGGAGCCAGTGAACTGTTTGAGATTGTCAATTATGCCAAAACTCGCATAACGATTATGGCTGGTGAGAATGTCCTGAAGTGACTAGAAAGGCATACTGTTCTTTCTAGGCTCTGGTGTGAACAGCCAAAACTTGAAGCAATTGATTGATCAAACCAATGCTCCATGGTATCATGGTTCAGCCGCCAAGAAAGTGATGGGAGAGGTGATAATTGTAATTTTAATTTTTAAAAGTGACAAAAAAAATCTTTCAGACTAAAAACAAGATTGCCATGGGATCAGCAGATATGGATGATCTTAAGTATACTTGCTCGGAAGAAACAAGAAAAATGAAAAATCTTCTTTTAAACTCTCATTGAGCTGATGAAATAAAAGAATGTTATTGTATCCAATTGATTGAACTATACATTTGTAGTATAGAAAGAGAGAGAGAGAGAGAGATAGAGAGAGGGAGAGAGAGAGAGAGAGAGAGAGAGAGAAAAGAATGTCTTGATAGTCAGAAAATGATTCTTTCGACGCATCTAATAGTAATGAAGAGTTATTTATGCTAATTTGCTCGAAATGCTACGTAACGTCAGCTTAATCAGCTTCATTTACAAATTAGATGTGATGATGAGCGGTTGCATATAGAAGGTAAGTTCAATTCAATTATATTCATTTTTCTTTTTTCGTCTTCATGCCTTTACTTCCTCTTAACAACAATTGGATTTGGTTTGTGTGTGTGTGTGTGTGCGTGTTTACTTTTCTTCCTATTACTCCTCATTTCCTTTCTTACAATCCTCCTTTCTTGGATGAGAATAGAGAATGCTGATAACATCAGATGAATACTGAATGCTGCTACTGCATACAAGCCATTTGCAGTAATGTATAATGATGTCTATACTCAACCTGAATCAATTGATTCACAGAATATGCATAGAGCTAATTAAAGATATGAAAGGTGATGCTTGATCAGCTCATCCGTATCAAGACCTTAATCTCATTTTGATCTGTATATGGTAAGTATCTATATCTATATATATATACATATACATGTAGATGTGTGTATAGATGGATCATAACTACTTCAATTTGACCAATTTTCGTTAATTGCAGAAAGCAAGTATTGTTTTCTTATATTTTGACTTCATCATCCTCATATGGGCAGATCTTTTGCTGATCCAATAGTGGTAGCCGGCTCAACTTGTCCCGCGATTGGAAGAAAGAGATAGAGAGAGATAGAGATACAGAGAGAGAGAAAGATAGAGAGCAATGGAGGGAGAAGCAGGAGAATGAAGAAGACAGAGAGAGAGAGACTAGTGATGTGATATAGTTAAAAACAAATTTTTTACGTGTATTATATATTTATTTATTCCTTCTTTGACGCCTGATGGAAGTGCTGTCTTATACATTGACAGAAGATGTGGCTCTTAATGTAAAAGCACATTGTATTCAGCTAGTTGATTGTTGCTCTAAGCATAAACGAAACTCTAATCGTGTAATTTTATTTGATGAAAGCAATTAGAGTCATTGGGATGCTTTTGCCTATTCTGCATACGTCTCTACGGCATTTTGTATTCGATGTTCATGTCTCCTTTCAAACAACTTTTCTATTTCTTCTTCTTCTTTTTCCTTTTTTTTTTGTTCTTGTTGTTAAACGTTCTCAAATGTATGCTTCTAGAGTAGCATCAGAATCATTTTCTCATCAATCTCTACATCTTGTCTGCAGCAGTACAGCTATTGCTGAAGCTGCTGTCCTAACCTTTTTTGGGTTATCGTCCAGAGCTCGCGTTTCTTGAGTCTCTGTTGATGTGTTTCATTCGAACTCTATTCTTCTCTTCATTCACAATCATCAGGAGCATTGGAGTATGTGTCTCTCTGTGCGTATGTGTGTGTGTGTACGTGCGTGCCTGCATGAAGATTCTACGAATGTCTTTTGTTTTTTTGTAAACTGTAGCCATTCGAAATCAGTTGGAGCATTTTCCTGGCTTAGCGTAGGCTTTTGATATTTTAATGCTAAATGGTGTCAGATGAGAAGAGAGGAGCTTGTCTTGGCACAGGGAGAAGAGGAGGTTGCTGCCACTCCCCTTTATCTTTTTTGCATTTCGTCTCCATTTCAATGAAATTCAGATTTGTAGTTGAAGGCATTCTTGTAATTTTTAGAATACAATGATGACCTTTGTATTGGCTCAATGCTCTCTCACTCATGCCATTAGCTTGATCAGAGACCTATCAAGTTTAATTGAAGAGAATCTTTGCACACACACACACACCACACACATATCAAAGATTTCATTTCTTATGCTCATTTTCCATATATGGATGTATATAAATTTGTCTCTCTTAAAAAGAGAAAAAGAAGAAGGCGACGAAGCTGAAGAAGAAGAAGAAGAAGCTTTTCTTTTTCGATTTTCCTTCCGTCTCGTCTCTAACATCTCATCGTCTTTTCGTTGTCGTCTTCAAACTTGTCTACCTCATGTTCTTCCTCCTCCTCCTCCCAGCTCCGATTACGGCAATTTGTTGAACACTACTATCGGCAGTAGGCTGAGTATCTAATTGACTAAAAGAGTGAAACGACATAGAAGCCAACCATTGGCAACTTCAACTAATCGAGATGTCCCATTTGTTTCGAAAATTTGGTTTATTATTTTATTTCTTGTATAACTATTTGAGTATTAATAAGCCTACTTTCCTATGCCTTCCTCATATGATCAAGCATCTACTTGGGAAAGAGGGCAGAAAATGAAAAAAAGAAAGAACGTAGAGCTCGAGAAGGATTGAGAGGGAATGCGCAAGAGAGAGACTGATACACCCTATGAGAATGGGAATGAGAGAGAAAGAGAATGAAGAGAGAAGAAGTTGATATGAAGCTAATGAAACATTTTAATGACATAACTGGTAATTGAGCTTTGCACACAATGAAATTTTAAAAAACGAAATGAGTTGAGGTATTCCTATGGCTTTGCTTTGGCATGAGCGACAGAGAGACACAGAGAGAGAGAGAGAGATTGCTTGTGGTCGTCGCGTCTTGTTTCCTTCAAACGTTGTTTGTCTTCAATCGTCTATACCATTCTCATTATTTTTATATTATTTAATCTCAATAATGTATCATCTATATACTATTCCGTTATCATAAGTGAAGTCTTAAAGGACATAAGTATTTGAAAAGAAAGATTTCAATTGAAGTTGAGAAGTTAATGAACTCGTATTCCCTAGAGAGACCCGGCTACTTATGCCCCATAATTTATGAAACCTCACGCTAATCAAGCTGTAACTTTTGATATTCAAAGAGAGAGAGAGAGAGAGAGAGAGAGAGAGAGAGAGAGAGAGAGAGAGGGGGGGATGGATGAAGAGACAAGCAGAGATAGAGAGAGAGAGACAATCCCACTCTGATGTTATAATGTGTTTCTAATCCTCTGTCAAACCTTATCATGTCTCTTCATTCATTTTGTCTCTTTTCTTCATTTGAGAATTACCTCCATCTTCACAACACTCACCCATCCACCCACTCTCTCTGTCTTTCTCTCCCTCCTTCTCTATCTCTCAATCTCTTGTTCAATAAAGAAGGGAAACTCTTGTTGTTTTTTTGTTGTTGGCCATTTTAATCAAATTGCTTGCCTCAGCTTTATGAGTTGTGATTGGATGAAAGACGTTTGCACTTTATATCCAAATCTTCTATCCAATGATGAATAGCTTAAATTTGAAATTTTTTCAATCACGAAAAAGGCTAAATGTGAGCTTTTTGAGCTCTATCCATACTCTTCTAAATAAAAAATTTTTGTGTGGGAAAAGACACACTTTCGTTCTTATTCCGCACTTCAATTAAAAATCTTTTTTTCTTGTAAGCCAAAAAAATTTTTTTTTGATCTCCTTCCTCCCATCCCTCCATTTTCAGCTCAGCCTCCATCATCCATTTCTCAGGATCTCTCTACCTTCATCCTATCCTACTCCATGCATCCACTTACGGGTCGCTCTCTTTACTTCCGCTAGCTATCCTTATCTATATTAAGCAGAGAAAGGACACAGACTTCGGATGAAACGAATGCCCTCCTAACCGTTTCGTTAGAAAATCAAATGCTTAAGCTAGATGACCTTTGCTCAACAAATAATTCTTTGAGAAGACAAAAAACTTGGCTTCTTTCGGGTCTGAAGGACTGAATGAACTTTTTCCAGCTCCCCCTCTATCCAAATGACTTATCGGAGGGCTCCCAAGTTCTTTTCTCATAATTATATAACTCATTAGAAAACTTATAGTGAGCATAAATAAAGTACATTGGCATCTTACAAGTTTCTCTATGACGACAGAATGAAGAGAGAGAGGGAGACAGGGAAGAGAAGAGTGAAATATATATAGAGAGAGAAAGGAAGAGAGGAAAAAGGAGAAGAAGAAGAGAAGGAAAAAGCTGGAAAAAGCCAAAAACCGAGGGAGCTAAAGAAAGAACGAATTGATGAGTTCAGAACTTAGAAGTTCAACATCAATACTCTCACATCCTTCATGTCTTGATTGCACATATATATACATATATTTTCATCTTGAGCTTGTGAGCCAAATGAATATTTTACGGGAATTTCTATTCATGACCATTATTGGGCATAATCTTCGCCATATTCATTATTTCATTTTGTTTCAATATCTTGAAAAGCTTCATCAGATGATAATCATTAAAAATCTCATCACTCTACACACTTTTCAATTTGAAAAAGGAAGTGAATTCATTTCTTGGATTAGCACCACAACATCAGCAGTAGCTGGAGAGCACGTCTACCTTCTTTATTCTTCTCCCTCCCCACCCCCTCTTCCAACTCTCTCTTCGTACTACTCTTCTCTCGATATATATCTCTCTGTCTGTTCTTTTTTTTAATTTTCTCACCCTCACGAACTCCATGTAATTCTTCATGCTACATATAAAATATCCATTATGTAATAAAATTGCAATCATTTTTCTTTCTGATCTCTTGCTCTCATATGTTTCTTTGTTTGGCTCGGCTGATCAGCTTTCTATTTCTTTCTTTTATCTTTCTATCTTTCTTTTCATTCTCTCGTTAGCTCTCTGTCTTTCTCTCATTATACACACATTCACATTCTTTGAGAAATTCATTTTGGAATTTTCAACGAACAGCGGACAGCTCAACTTTTCTATTCAAACTCTCCTTCTGTACTTCTCAACTGATTAATACTAAAGCAACATCAATTAGTAATTATTGTTTTTTTCATTCTGCAGCTCTCCCTCAGATACTCAAATATGTCTGACACATCATTACATGTGGAAAAGCAGTTTTCATTATGCGGTCTTGGCTTACGTGCAGCTGTATTCCTCTGCACACTCACGCAGCTCATTTTTTGTGCTGTAACGGGGTAAGTAAATTAGATGACAACATCATCGTCATACAGATAATCCCTCTCTCTCCAGAATTTGCTTAAATCAATTTCTTGAATCAACGACCATCGTCTACATTCTCTTATTCATACATATAACTTGCGCGTTAATGGCATTGGTCTTCTTTGTTTTTTGTCTAATTCAAAGAAAATTCGGAACAACCTATGAAGTGATTCTTCACGCCTACTTACTTAGTATCGTAAGTTTTGTTTTTGAACCACACAAAGAAAATTGAGACATAGCCAGTAATATCCTGCATGTAATCCCTAGTCACAATAAAAACAACCGTTCTGCGTGTCTGTATACAAAGAAAATGATGACAGCACTTTCACGTGATAGTCACGTAATTCTCGTAACATCACGCGTCTCTTCTTATCATCACATTCGCGTTGTAAATGTCGTACATCGAAAAAAAAACATCCACCAACTCTTCAACAAACTGCCATTGAAGTCAAATAAACATTGATTCCTTTCAGCTCTTGATGGCTCTAACTTCTTTTTTTGGCGTCATGTACTTACCGCTGTCATTTCTTCAACAGACACACTCTATTAGCGAGGGTGACTTCAACAACTTTCCGTTAACATTTTCTTATTCTGCTGTTTTAGGTGTTCATTATGCATTTTTGTTGGCTGCTGCAAGTGGTTTATTAGCTTTACAATTTATCCAACGAAACCTGGTGGAGCAGATGTTACCTATCATGGAACACTCGTTTCGCTGATATTATCCTAATCTCAAGTTCGTAATCCATTCGTACGATCGGATACTAACGTGAAATAGCTAAAAATTGTTGTTTTTCATATATATATTTATATATATTTATGCCATTACGCCAAACATCACAGAAGAGTAATGAATATACCGGTTTGAGTGACCGTTAATAAGAAAAAAAAAGAGAGAAAGTTTGAATTTTATGAAATGATAGGCTTTATGAATACCCAGATGTCACATTCCGTATTCGCAAAAATCACAACACAAAGGGTCTCTTCTCAGATTATTTTATCATGAGCGCTTCTAATACTACATGTTTACTAACAAAACTAGGCTCAATTAGACTACTTTATATGCAATACGATACCGTTTTAATAAATATTTTCCAACAAGAAGAATTTAACTTATTTTGAAATTCTACTCCTTACGCATGTCATAAGCTGATTGAGACTCTCTTTTGATCCTTGCAGAAGCTCAAACTCAGCTGACGATTCAGTCAATAACAACTCAAATTGTAGATGGAATGATTCTTTCGTTTGATCATCGTCTGACAGGCACAACTCATTCGTTTTCACGTCATTATGCGAACCATCAGCTACTCCTACTACTCTTTTTCTGAAAAGAAAAGATGAAACACTTCATGTTTGAGGTTTCCTACGATTTCGGATGATCGTCATTAGTAGCCATCAAACGTCGTTTCCGTCTGAGATTGAGCCATGTACAACATGCACTTTTACACACATACTGGAAAATTTATCAGTGGAGTCAAATGACTGGAAATACCTTCGAGTTCACTTTAATTATATCGATTTTGAGTTTTCTCAATTCATTTAGAATAACATCTGTTGCATTTCGCCCCTCAGAGATTAGTATGTTTGAGAAATTCAGCAGGAAACTCACTCTCTTAACTATATTTTGAATAATAGCTTAAAAGTTCACAAACCTCAAGACGAATATTGGGTCGGAATGTCCAAGCTATGACCCATCGATGAGTCCTTCCTTGGTAGAGAACGAAGTTCTTGCACTTCACATCAGGCAGATCATGGAGACGTTGCATTAACGGTTTTAAGGATGTCTTCTTACCCAGCATAGAAGTGAAAATACTGTGAAAGGTTTGAGTGCATTGAAGTTAGGCAAAGATGTACCTGATTTTTTCTTTATAAACTATACTTTCTTCGATCATTTTCAAAACAAAGCTTTCCTCGCCTCCGCTCGTTTCTAACTCATTGACTTTTGCCACTGTGCTGGAGCGAGGGGGAGGTCTGCTGGTGGTAGCTCCATAATCAGGTAGATTACAGAATTTCCCAGGGGATAGCTGAACAGGAAAACGCTGAAAATCAAAAAATAATCCTTTTCAAGTCGACAAGAATACTTCGTATGTTTCTTCTTGCTCGAAGAAGGGAGGGTTACACATTGAAAATTCGAACACTCGATCGGGATGTTTCTCCATAACACCCTAGGACAAATCTAATTTGGAAAGAGAGTTTGCAAACATACCTGGAAAAAAGTATCTTCCTCTACAAGCTGTGTTTCAATACACTGTTCTAAAGAGTTTTGAGACACGTTTTTCGAGGCGATTTCAATCGAATGTGGATTCACATCCGTCCCAACAAAGTTCCAATCAAAACGTTTAGCCCCAAGAAGAGGATAAACACAAGAAGCGCCCGTTCCTGGAGAATTTCCTTAAGTAAGCCCGAGGATACTCAGCTTGTAATACCTATGTCAATGCCATTAACTCTTTCTGTTAAATTATTTAACTGGAGTAAGTCTTCCAAGAGCAAAAGGTAATTAAGTTTTTGAGGTATGCGGGGAACTAGGCACCCACTCGATAAGTCCACCTTCAAACTTGAACTACACTAAGCAACGAAATTCTCACATACATTCAATCCAAAATCATTGTGGAAAATAGCGTGAGTAAGAGCTCGTATAGCTTCATCTTCGCGAAAATTGATGTGAATCTGATTAAAAATTGAAAAGAAGATATTCTAATGCTATCAAACCCTTCCATTCTGCCCTAGAGTACAGTGCTTTCTCAATGTTGGATACTTAATGGCTAAACTTTTGAAATCAGGAGGATTGTCCTTATAAGGATTTCTAGGATGCATATCACTGTTAAAGCTCATTACATTTGTTCTTATCTACTTCACATTTTGTCTACTGAAATTAACATCTCGAGGATAATGAAGAAACCATGAAAAACCTTTGAAACTTCCAGCCTTGACATCATTTGAACGCTGTGTACGTAGACAAAGCGTTCGTTATAATCCACACTCCTATCTTGTTTGCGTATTCAAGTAGGTTCAAGTTTCTGACGTGGATTGTAGCTTGGAAAATCTCATTAAAATTGTTTTAAAGCTCTTCACGCATTCAAAATATTTTTAAGAAAAGTTTTTATACTTAGACCGAAATAAAAGTTGTTTATATAAATCGATTTGATTCTTTTCGTTGAACAATAGGTGTTCATTAAAGTTTTTGGAAGTTTTTGAAGATCTTAACAGTTGAGCTCAATCTGCTGCCTCATTATAAGAATGCTTCTCCGAATTCAAAACTTGTTTTTCAAAGCGTCTTCTAGATTATTTGTTTTCAGTTATTCTAGCACATTAGTTCCATTGATAATCTTGTTTAGAATTCTCTCAAAAAATGTCCGAAATGTGGGAAGGTAACTCCTTTGCATTATCACAAAGTAAAACCTCTTCATCGGTTTCAGATTTAAGAAAACGTGCGAGATCAACAGAAAACTCGATAGATGTGAAGCTAGTGTCTTTGAATAAGTTGAATTCTCATACAGGTTTTCATCAAGCAAGACTACTTTCGAATGAAAATCTTTACAGGACACGAGAAAAGCATGAACAGTAGGCAAACCGTATTTGATACTCTCACGGAGGAAATAGATGCCTTACTTGTTAAACTGGGAAACATCAATGACGAAGTGATTTTGTAACATATAGTTGTTTGTAGTCGTATTGAAAACAGATGAATGATGTAGTTGGTGCTCAGAGCTCTGTGGGGTGGGCCCAGAGTGCTCCCGTTCAACATACCTTACGTCGCCATCGTGAGATATTGAGGGATTATGGGATAGAATTCAGAAGAGCAAAGGATAATGTATTTCAACAGTTGCAGAGGTTAGTCTGTTCATATCTCATTGTGCATAACATGACCATTACAGGGATTCCCTTCTAGCTAGTTCCAATGAGGGTTCTTGTCTGAATAATCGCATGAAGACATCAGATTTATACCTGAAAGAGAGTGAACACATCTCCAGTTGTGCTATTCTGCTTGATGAACAAATGGAGTATGTTGTCAGCTTATGTATTCTCTTATAATTTCCCTCTATAGAATAGCCATGACAACAAAAGAGAATTTAACACGTCAAAGCAATAGTATGCGTGGAATCACGAAGAAGATGCGTGATATCTCTCGTATGTCCGACTCACCTGCAAAAGACAAAAATATCAATTTTTCCAGATAAATATCCTATGCTCAATAATATTATGCAGAAGATTCAGCATAAGAAGAAGAAAGACACAGTAATAATGGCCGTCGTGATATCATTGTGTCTGATATTTACGATTTATTACTTGATTCATTAAGTATTACTGCTACTGCTGCTGGTATTCAATTTGCCTTACGTTTGTTCTCATGTAATCCTTAGAAAAGGGACAAATCAACAATTTCACGCATAACTTTAAGAAAATAGATGACTTTATATGTATCATAAGGGTTTGTTTTATGGTCGATTTGTGATTAACAAGCTCTCTCTGAGTGGGTTTCTTTGAATGTTTAGCTTCTCTCTTTATATATATATATAACTATATGATAATTGTGATATGTATTTATACCTTTTTTTTGCCTTGTACACATTTTAGTTGATTTATAAATATTTATTTTTGTCATCCTTAACCATGTTTGGTTAAATGCCTTGGTATTGTTCCTTGCGTTCATTTGATTCTCACCTGCGTACTCGTAGCATGTCCCAACTTCGTGCTATCATTTGTCCTTCCATCCTTAACGCAGATCTAGCCAACTTGGCTGCTGAATGCAAAAAGTTACTTACTAATGGAGCTGATTGGCTTCACCTTGATGTAAGTACATGCTTGATTAAGACATCACTTAACTGTATTCTAAGGTTATGGACGGTAACTTCGTCCCCAATCTTTCTTTCGGACACCCTGTTGTTGAGTCTTTGAGAAAGAGTTTGGGAAGCGAACCTTTCTTTGATGTTCATTTGATGGTTTGATTGCAATTTTGCAAATATTTAATAGTTACCATAGGTTAGTGACCCCAAATTTTGGATTGAACCAATGGCAACTGCTGGAGCCAACCAGTTCACATTCCACTTGGAAGCTGCCGAGGCTAGAGGAGGTGAGGCTGAAATTAGAACTATCATCGAACAGGTTGGTGCTTTTTGGAAATTGTAATCAGTCTTTCGGTCATAGATTAAACGTCATCAAATGAAAGTCGGTATTGCTATAAAGCCTAAAACTGCAGTCGAAGAACTTTTGAAGTATGCTGTGAGATCTTAAGTTCATCTTAAATTATTATCTTTACAGGTATGCTCCAGATATCGATACAGCTCTTGTTATGACAGTTGAACCTGGGTTCGGTGGGCAATCTTTCATGACTGACATGATGGATAAAGTAGGCAGTTTTCAATAAACTGGAAATTCTTATTTTTAGGTGCGTACTATCCGTGCCAAATATCCCAGTCTGGACATTCAGGTAGATGGAGGAGTCTCGTCTTCAAATATCGAGGTGGGTCCAATCTGTTTCGAACTTTTCGTATACACGCTTCAGGTTTCTGCCAAAGCGGGCGCCAACCTCATTGTCTCTGGAACTGGAGTTATCAGAGCACCAGATCAAGCCAAGGCTATGAAAGACATGAAACAGTGTGTTTTGGATGCTATTAAGACAGGCTTCTAAGCTGAGGGTAGTTAAGCTCTTTTTCCTCTTCGGTGTTTCATTCCTAATTGTTGTGATGTTTTTAAGTTAGAGTTTTAAATGAAGTTTATCAAGTAGATATTCCTTTGTTGGATGGTTTGTGTTCATTGTATAAGGTCCACACATTGTTCAGAAAGCTTTTTGGGAAGTTCAATGGGGCTAAGTCGCTCTGAAGTAACGCAGCCTGGAAGCACAGCAGCCGAAATAGAATTACCTCATTGACTTTGTCAGAAAGATCGGTAATCTCGTTACTCTTCTTGGCCAGTTCCAATATAGCCATAGCTAACTGATCATCATGAATACCCAGATGTGCTTCAAGAAGCTCATTCATTTTTGCTATCCATAGATCATTTTTCCCTACTTCCTGATGTTTGATGTGTATCCTACTTTGACTCTTTAGGAAATACCTCTATCACTACCCCACCATCAGGCTTCATTCTGATAGATTGTGTTCCATCTTCCGGTTCTTTCATTTTCTTGATCGCTGATCGGGGTTGTAGCACTCCCATGTGATATTGTAAGGGTGAAACCAGAGTAATGGTAAAACTAGATGACAAACTTCTGAATCATGAACTACGCCATTGCTTACTTAGTGCCTACGGGGATAAGACGCAACATGCGAGTTATTTCGTAATGCCTCAATCCGATAACATCAACTCCGTTTATCTTTTGAATCAGTTGTCCAATAGAGATATTCGGTCTAAGCTTGTCTAAAAATCAGCTAATCGTGCGAAGCTGATCTCAATTAGTTACCCAGGACGCTGCTTTCAGCGATAGTTTTGATGAAACATCGAGAAACGGCATTTTCAGCAATTGTCATGCCTAACGAGCTGAAAACGAAAGGGTTACATCTCCATGAAATTTTTTTCCTACTTTTGTGTCTTTTCAACTTCAAGTTCGCAAGCTTGCCCCGCCACATGAACATAAAGAAAATCATCGTTCATGATACAGCTAGTAAAAAGATGTTCCATATCAGGCTTAAACAATACGAAATATCAAAAGCTAATCATACGTAACATACCTTGAACGTGTTGACCGTGCAGAATATAATATCATCCGAAGAAATATCAAAAGCTTGAGCGATTTTCTGGAACAATAATAATTATGAACAAAACATACTATGTTGTGCTACCTTATATAGCTCCGGAACGCTCTGATAATCCCTTATGACAACCGTAGGTGAACCATGAGCCAATTGACAATTTATTCTCCAAGTTAGAGGAGCTGAAGTGTTTCACAAATCTGAACAATATTCAACAAAAACACATACGCAACTGCTCGGCTAAGGTTGCTTTCAAAGCATCTGCCAGTACGGTTATGTGATGTACGCTTACGTTTGTCGCACCCACTGCATTATTATGATTATGTGAACGTCTTCTTGTACTACGTGAACGTCTATAATTACGCGATCTGAATTCAAATAATCAGTCTTTGCCTCGACTCTTCTCGCAGACCTGCTACGGTGTCTCGTCATTGGTTCGTATACCACCGATTGCTTGAAAGTAAACGTAGGAATGATTATGTCAACTTGTTCTTCTCACGTAATTCACGTGAGAGCTGTTACTACTCACGTGATTTCCACGTCTCTCCTGTATACATTCCGTAAATGTGTTTTTGGGAAGAATAGGTTTATATCAGTTGCAGTTTACTATCAGGTAATGTATCTTTGCAATTCGAGTTATTCTAACTTCAAGTTTATAGATACATGAAGATGTGGGAAAGAAAAATGTTTAGAAAGTTCGTGGCCATTCGTTTTATGTCTCGTCGTCTGTATCATTTTGTGATCCCGAAACATCTTGCAATCCTAGCCAGATATACAAAACAGGCTTCTTCATCACTTTTCTTCGGCTTTAATGTCCCGCCTTATCGGTCCACTCGCTTAATTAGTTCGAAGCTTGATCGCACTTTTCATAAAGAAGCTGTGACGAATGAGGTAACGCATTCATTCATCTTTTTGAAATTATTTGAAAATATGTTTGTTCACATGTTGTGTTATAGGATTCTCATCTTACTTCCTGTGTTAGTAATTGTATGTGTGTCGGGACAAAAAGTAGGCCCACCTGGCCCAATTTCCTCACATTTCCTTGATTGGCTAATAGCTCACGGGTTTGTTATTTTGAAAGTATTTTTAAAGGCTCAAAAATCTAGTTATGAAGCTGACGCCTTTGATCGACCAGATGTCGGACCAAACGGCAGTTTTGGAGGCAAGAAGAGGAGTTCAGAAAAAGTATAACTAATCTTGCAGTTTTCGTATATTATTTTTCTCTTTCAGTTATCCAATGAACCAGTTATCTTCATTCATGGTAATGGGGATGCCGCTCTTCATACACAAGCACCTTTAGCTACAGGGTGGAGTAGGTGAGCATTGCAAATTCGTGTTCGCCTTGGGAAGTTCCTCTTTCCAGATCTATCCAATACTTCTTAGAACAAAATTACACAGAAGCAGAACTGTATTCTACTACATGGGGAGACGCTTGGGGAAGTGGCTCTATTCTTGACAGCTATAGTACCATGCATACTTGCGCTAATTTATTATACTTGAGAAGGTATTTCTTGAATATCATGGGGTTAACATAAGTATCTGTTCTTAGATACATTGAAGCGGTCATCGCATACACTGGAGCCAAGAAAGTTGATGTCATTGCCCACTCTGTTGGAGTTCCTTTAGCCAGGTTAGCTCTTCTGAGTGAATAGATCGAAAGTTAACTTGAATACTTGCAGAAAAGTTTTGAAAGGAGGAGATTTGATCGGTACTGATGGAAACTGTACTCTTGGTCCCCCACTTACTGATAAAATCGATACATTTGTCGGAATCGCTGGTCCAAACTATGGTAAGAGTAGATTTCAAGCTCTAAGTGACTGTTGTTAAAGGTCTATGCGTTTGTCAATTGGCACAAACAGTCCCAGCGTGGTGTAATGCTTTAGACGGACTTTATCCAGGATATACATGCCAAGATCAGGTATGGTCACTTTGTAAACAATTTTCAAATATGATTGCAAAATGCTTTTTCTCGGTTCGGGTTCTTTTGATACAGTGTGAAACACACCTACCCCCCCCCCCATCCCTTTTTTTCTGTTATGCATGATGGATCGAGAAGCTAATTGCATTCATCTTCTGATTCTTCGTATAAGCGGAAATACTCTCATAACAACAATATCTCACACGACAATAAGCAATGTTTTCTAGCTTCATCTTCTTATTTCGTGCAATCACAATTTGTTTTGTAAAATTCAGACTCTGAGGGCTTGAGAGGGCGCTATCTAATCCATCTATGTTTTCTTGATCACTCAACTCATCTCGCCATTTTCGGGTTGCACCACCCTAATCCTGTTCCTTATCCCATTTATGGACCGGTTCCAGTTTACATGACGAGATAGCGCACTGACCAGAGTCATGATAAACACGGGGCTAACTAACGATGCCTAACTGATCACAACATGCGAAGCAATCAACCCATAAAGCTTGCTTGGATTTTTCTGGGTACAGCTTGCATAGCCTGCTGGATGTTGCGTTTAAACAATTATCTTAATTGTTCTATATATAGAAAGGTTTTAATTGCAGTTGTTATGTGGCTACACCTCGGGAGACTGTCAACAAGAAAATTACTCAGCTTTACTCGAGAAGATCAACAAAGATCCTGTCCGGGAAGCTGAGCATATTTATGCCATGTGGAGTGATGGTATCACAGATATACAACATCCAATCCCAACGCTATTATTTTCAGTTGATGAAGTTCTTCTGTTCCGAGGAATGACATGGGGAAAACCAACATCTAGGATACCAGGCATGAATGGTCGCTGGGTTTCTGATAGAAACGGTCATGTTGCAATGAAGGATCTCACTGAGCTTAGACAATACGAGGCTGTGGTACATCATTCTATTTAAATTTCCGAAGTTCTTATTCTTAACTTATTTGTTTCCTCATGTACATAATATAAACAGTTTACATCATGATGTTTAATCGTTCAAAACTTGATAAGTAGTTGAGATGTTTCGACACGGCTTTGAACCGTCTAAGGCTAGTTTGGGTATAAAGGTAATAAAAAATTAAGAGATCGAGTGCAAATACAGAAGATGCATCATGATATCAAAGTAGCACGAATCATAAATTAATTGCCAGACGTTATTACGCGTTGTACAGGTTAAACCTACATTTAAGAAATGGACTTCTTCTTCGCAGATTTCTTTACAGAGTTAGATTTGGATACTGTGGCAGCAACCGTGGGAGTAGAAGCCGGCTCTTCCTTAATATCCTTGCCCGTCTTTTTGGTTCTTGGCTTAACTTCAGCTTCACCCATTTCTTTTTCAATGAGACCAATTAAGGTATTGCATCTTCTTTGGAGTTCCTAAGAACAGGGAATTAGTAGAATTCAAGCTGCTTTAACAATACCATGGCAGTCCTACTTTTGATGAACCAATCAAATCTAAATTGGGGAGCCATACGCACTGATTGTCTTAGCTCCTCATAAACTGTCTCTTTATCGAAACCAAGTCTATGAAGCTCACAAACAAGGTACCTATAACAATTGAACTATAAAGCGCTGAAGATCAAAGATAACTAACCTATCCTCTTCTTCAGTATAAGTTTTTCCTTTGTTTGTTCCATAAGCAATGCGCAGTTGATGGAATGGAGCTTTGTACTTGGCTATTTTCGCATCTAATGCTTTTTTCACAGACTGTCTTCTCTGGATTCGGGCTTCTCCCTAAAAAATTGCAATACTGAAAAACGATCTATGCATCTAATTTCCTGCCTTTTCGATTTGTGTGAGGATTTTCTCGCTTTCATGCAACTCGTCGAATCGCTCCCAAAATATTTTAACATAAGCTTCCACCTAAACGATCGATTAGAGATTAGTACTGTTGTTGATGCCTACTTCATCAAAATTCTTGGTCTCGATTTCCCTGGCAATATTTTCGATATCATGTCTTCCATACTTTTCACAGGCCTATAAAGTAGAAATTAGAAACGCAATTTTGAAATAGCAGACGATTCAATCAAATCGTATATGAGATAATCTCAAGACGTCAGAGAGATCATCTTTTGATGAGGAAGAAGTGTAAGCAAAAACAAAACTTACACGAACGAAATGTTGGAAATCACGTTTGTTCCAATTAGATAACCCTTGTGAGAGTAGCTCGTTCTTCTCATTTTGCTCTTGGTCAGTAAGGGCTTCAGCATTGTCAATGAGCTTTTGCTCTTCTCGTTGACGTTTATCAGCCTCTTTAGGGGTACAATCTTTTGGTTTTTCAGCCTGAAATAATTGAGATGAACGTAATCAACGTAAAAGCCGTAGATTATGAGATTTTCAGTCTTAGCATCGCACGACATTGGTTGCCCTGGAGATATCATCCGTATCTCTTAAAGCTCCGCCTATTAGCCGCATTTGAAATTTAAAATAAATCTTCCTCTTTCGGAGTATTCCAAGCCGTTATTTGTCTTTGTAATAGACATGCATTCTGATTCCATGTCCGAGAGTGAGGATCTAAGCAACGATTTTTCGAATCGAACGATCTTCATTTGCGGATTCATCACGAAACGATGGCATAACAGGTAACTCTTTGATTTATGACTGAGATCATCATTTTCCTCTTGAGTTCGTTACTGGCAATAATTCATGACCTTCTCCCGAACTTCTTCCTCTCATGTAACAACGATACTCACAACGTAGCGGAAAGATCCAGAGAGATGATATCCAATGCTGATGTCATGATCTTCTTTGTGAATGAATTCACTATTAGCGATACAAATTGTCTCAAAATGCTTCAATATGCTTGGCATCTCATGATTCCAATTATCATGCTCCGTCCTCCGAAAACTAAACTCGTTATCAGCAAACGACAGAACAGGAGAACGGATATGCAGTAAGATATATGAACGTGAAAAGATATTAACTTCCATATCTCAGTGTTGGTAACGGTTCCATATCAAGAATTGCCACTGAACCAATTGGGCGATTCGACCTCTCAAACATTGACTACAGTCTTCTTCAAGATATTTTACACGAGGTATTGCACGCTTCATGCGCTATTGCTATCAAGTTCTTTTCAAGGGCTATAAACGTTCAATAGTTTATAATCGTCAGGCTCATGAGAGATCCATGAAAAAACTACATGAGCGCCTAGAAAATCTTTTCAAAAAAAATAACATAAACTCTTTCTCAACTGAGCAACCTCCGTTCTTTCTGTCTCCATCAAGAAATTCCAACTCGCAGTTGGTAGTTTCAAACATAGCTTCAGCGAAAAGTGAGTCGCTTCATATCAAGTTGAACATGAAACAAGCTGGAAGTTTTAGCGAGCCCCATTCACACAACGAAAAGCCTCAGCAACTTGGCGACGATCGACACGAAAACACCAAAGGTATTTCCTAATCGGATCACATCAGAGACACTCATAAACAGATGAACAAAGCAACACCTGTACACACTCCTTTGAAGAAGCAATCCAGTTGGGGATTCGCAACTTCCTTTAGTAGAGATTCTTCGTTTGAAAGAAGAATGAGGTATATCTATCACCTTTGACATCAGAAATTCACAAAGGAGAATTTCAGCCTCAGTCATTTCACAATTGACGATTTGTCGAATTTTCAACAAACGCAATACCTAGTATTCCCACTGAAGGATGGAAATAAGAAACCAACTTTAGTCAAATTCCCCGATGATCTCATTGAAGAGAAGTACAAAGAGGAAAGTTTGTGGGGATCCGATACAAGTCTTGAGGAAGAAGCTAAAGTAAGCGCAAACACATAGTACTTTTCTAATGGACATTCAGAATGCTTCGAGAATAGCTCGTGGAATCAGCATTGATGTGGAAGAAACCTCCCCAATATCTTCGCCCCCTCCGTATATAGAAGATATTTGAATGAATAAACTGTTACTTACCTTATAGCCTATAACTTTACGATAATGATATGTTTCACGATCCAAAAGCTCGATTAAACGCTTTGGATAGAACTGGAAATCGAAAACAGCTGGCTGTTTGGGTCTTGGAGCTTTGCTCTGTTTTTCAACTGGATTTCCAACACGCATTGCTTCACGGAAGTAAGCATCAACCTAAAACGTTTATGTTCACAGAAAAGGAAAAAGTACTAACTTGATAATTTGCTTTTCTTTCACGTTTAGGAGGCTCAATCCAGAAAACACCCGTTCCATCAGACTGCTTTCCTCTCCAGTCTTTACCTTCGAATTTATAAACAGACTATAAGATGAAGATAGGAATGAAACACAAACAATTCAAACGATACCTCCTTGTTGTCAAAAGTCAAATTTCGGAGATTGTTCTCTCCGAGTTCCTCCATCTTGGCATTAAGCTCAGCAGTTTTATTTTCAGCTTTCTCCAGAATAGAATCAATGTCCTCATCAGTAATTGTAGATTCTTTGGAAGCGAAAACCTGAAAACGAGTTTGGATGAAATTTATCCTGAAAAGGAGAAAATGCTCACTTGTTCAGCTCCGTGTCTGATCATATTGATCATATCATCTTTTCCAAGAGTTTTCGAAGCTTCTGCCAGTCTTCCCTGTTGAATGACCACGCTATCAAGACGAAGTTTCATTTCAGCCTTTTCAATAATGCGTTCATCCACAGTGTTTTCAGTAATGAAACGGAAAACTTTCACCTTGAAACTTTATTTATTCCAATATTTTCTCTCGGGAATTACCTGCTTCTTCTGACCGATTCTGTGAGCACGATCCTGGGCTTGAAGATCACTTTGTGGATTCCAATCGGAATCATAAATGACTACAACATCAGCAGTAGCCAAGTTAATTCCCAAACCTTGAATTTCACAAAGTTAACATACGGATTTGTAAACTCAACAACTGACCTCCAGCTCTGGTGGTTAACATGAAAATAAACTTCTCCGAGTCAGGAGCGTTATACTGGTCAATCATTTCTTGACGATCAGCATGAGCGGTGCTACCGTCAAGACGACAGTATTTATATCCTTTCCACCAGCAGTAATCTTCCAATAAATCGAGCATTCGAGAGAATTGAGAGAAAATGAGGACGCGAGATCCTTGCTGTTTCAACTTGAAGAGAAGCTTATCAAGTATGACCATTTTTCCGCAGTTATCGACCAAGTGTTGGTCAGTAGTGTATGGTGGTCCTGGTTCAGCACCATCGAATAGGTAAGGATGGTTAGCGGCTTTACGGAGATGCATGAGAATATTCATCAATCTTAAGACACAAAAGTAAAAGGAGAAGAGATCAGTAAGTGCACCTGGCTTTTTCAACTTTTCCTGCACCGTTTATAACGTCAATGTCTTTAAGAAGGACTTTAGTGTACCATTCACGTTGCATCTTGGATAAGCCGACATATACTTTGACTTCCTTCTTAGGTAAAAGAGACTTCTCGACATCAGTTTTGATACGACGAAGAAGGAAAGGTTGAAGAACCTGAACAAAGAAGATAACGAAGCTCAAATTACATTACGTACCTTATGAAGTCTTTGAATGATGTCGGTATTACCAGCCATACTTCCGTCGGTAAACCATGAATCGAAATCTTCCGAAGAAGAAAACATATCAGGGAGCAAGAAATTGAGAAGAGCCCATAGTTCATGGAGATTGTTTTGAAGTGGTGTACCGGTAATAAGAAGTCTATTCTTAGATTTGATCTCACGAACAACTTCTGACAGCTAAAAAAAAATAGATTTCGCCTCATAGAGACACCTTACCTTAGATTTCTCGTTCTTGATTCTGTGAGCCTCATCAATGATGATGTATTTCCATACAAACTTCTTGAGCTGAGATCTTACTTTCAAAACCATTTCATATGTTGTGCAGCACACATCGAACTTTTGGGGTAGAATAACATCCCGCAAAACTTTGTTCTACAATACCAATTTTAAACTTTCAATTCCCGATCTATACTTACTCTTTCAGTCTCATCTCCGATGATAGAGCAAGTCACGAGTGAAGGACACCATTTAGCCATCTCATTCATCCAGTTGCTCAATGTAGACTTGGGGACAATAACCAAATGGGGACTTCCCATGTTACGGTAATGTTTCATATAACCGAGCAGGGAAATAGTTTGCAGAGTTTTACCCAAACCCTGGAAAAATTCAAAATAATGACGAATTCAAGGAATTTGATCACCATTTCATCTGCAAGAATACCGTTAATTCCATTATGATGAAGTGAAACAAGCCAGTTCAAACCACGAATCTGATAATCTCTGAAAGCTCAAGTCAGCAGATACATAATTTGAAAATGCCCACCTCATTTCACCATTCTTGATATAGAAAGGACTTTCAGAAAATATGACAGTGTTACTCTCTTCTTTGTCAGCTGCAGCAAGCAGCTCTTCATCTTCTTCCTGCATGAAGAGTATCAGCTCAGAGAGAATGAAAAACTGTTACCTGTTCAGTTTTTCTGTGTCTATGATCTCCATCGAGTTCGGCTTTAGTAGGACGGCCCTTTTTCTTTTTAATAGGAGATCCGGCTAAAACCGCAATATACATAATACAATAGAAAAAATGACAAAAAAAGAAGAAAAAATAAAATTGAGATGAAGCTCACCTTTGAACGCTGCTACATCACCAGCACTTAGACAATGTGAAAAGTTTTCAGTTTTTTTCAACAACATCTCAAATCGTTTAAATGAGTCTGGCTCGAATTTTCTTTCTAGAGGGTCTATAGAACATCGGATTGCGTAATGGTTGAATCAGAAGAACAAACCTTGCTCATAATCCATGCTTTCTTCATCTTCTACTTCTCCTTGTGCGTTAGAATTGGTTGGAGAATTATTAGCTATAGAGTCATCCTAGAAAAGAAGTTGAGTTTGTTGATTTTCACGCTCAAACATACATAGTCCATCGAGTTCTCTTCTTCAACCTTTGCTTCGCCGCTCGACATTTTAAATGATGATTTTGCTTTAACTGACGAACTATGAACCTCAACAAGCTGAAATGGATGAGTTAGATTATTCAGGACACAAAATATATGAAAACAGATGATATAAACGGAGAAGCAATTCAAGATATAGTATTCAATTTGAAAGGATACATCTTTCGCGCGTCGCTAACGCGTTGCTTTCGCGCCCCTGAAAATCAAATGGAATGTACGTAATATGCAAAAGCGACGAGTCACGTACGCCGTGAGTTTAAAAATGTCTCTTAAAAAGAAAATCAATTAAGCATTTTGAAACTTATTATACTTCATTTAAAATACATATGTGTTTAAGTTATTGAATGTGAAACCTAGAAGCTAATATACGAAAACCAAATTAACAAAGATTTCTTTTAACAAAAATTAATTTAATCAATATTCTACGCTCGAGAGTTGCACTTCTATAAGTACAAACGTTTCCTTTTCCTTCGACAGTGAGATGAATCTTGAATATCATGAGAGTATTAACTGATTTCTGAATCAAATCTCTTTTGGATTGATATATAATATAATAAATTTGGAAGATTTCTAAGTTCAGATCAATGGATAGCGACGATTTATTAGAATCATCATCATCTGACGACGAACGAAACGATGAAATCGTCCGTGATAACAAAGTGTTAGTATAATATGAGAAAGCTTTCACATAAGCTCCTAAATTCAGTGATCTGAAACTCAAAATGAATTGTGCAAGAACTGCCTCAATCGTTCATAACACCTTACTGGTTGATAGAGAACCTAAGAGGAGCCAAGCTCAACGAAAGTTCGATTTAGACGGTGACACACTTCAAATGTATGCAACTTTCATAATATCCTCATGCATTCTTCTCGTTTAGACAAATTTCTAGTTCTGATTCTCGTTCTCTCCAAAAGTCGATAGCCAATGTTCTTGATATGTACGAGCTAGCTAAATCCACGGTTGAACTTGCCAATTCAAAGGCGTGGCTTAATTCTGATCAATCGAAAGGCAAGAAGAGAAGGTTGAATGAAAATTAATTGAAAATTATGTTGTTTTATTTGTTTTCCTTGTTGTCAATATGAATATTTAACCCAATATGAACTGATTCTTTCGAAGAGTATGTCTCTCCTACACAGTATCTTTGTCTCTTTGTACAAGTCTAACAACTACACCGTTTGATTGCAGAAAATGTTTAAAAATTTAATGTCTAAAGTTGAAGAAGCAAAAAAGATAACAGCATCAGTCGGAGAACAGATTTCACAACAAGTTGGGGATCACATAAAGAACTTGGTTAGAAAAAATCTTCCATATTCAATGTATTCCGTCTTATTTAGAATGAAGGGACCACAGAAGGAGGTGGCATCACGAGGAGGTTCAAAAACGCCATGGGTGTTTCTGGAGAATCTAAGGATCTTTCGCCTTCAGTAATAATCATCTTCTGTTTTTTTTTCTAAAAATGAATTGAATTTACAGAAAGCTGAAAATCTCGATTCCATACCTGAAGCAGACTTATTGGGTTTAGAAGTTCCAAGAAGAGAGAGGAGGTGGTCAGGAGATTCGAATATGAGTGTTGAAAGGTTCACTTCTATCTTTTTACAATTTTCATCGCTTTATCTCAGTTCTGTCTCTGCACTTTTCCAATCTGTACCGGGAATGGTGGGTACCACACTCGATACCCTGGACTCAGACCAAGAGAGTGTTGTGGAAGATACTGGGTCAAGTCTTATCAAGTCAGCGTCCAAGGAACAGGTTTGGATGAGTTTCGTCACTATTTTATACTACATGACTTTTAAAGATATCTACTGTTCTGTCTAAACTACAAGGACGAGCTGCTAATTATAAGGATAAGTATCGTGATCTCATAAAACAGTATAATACGTTAGTAGCAGAAAATAATAAGTGCAGAGTAAGATTTCTTCGCGTTTTTGATATTTCAAGTTTCTTTTTCCAGACTGTTCTTGCTCAGACTCAAGACAAGGCATTAACCAGAATAGAGAAACTAAGAAACGATAAGAAAGTTTTAGCAGAGAAATTAAGAGAAACGCATGAACGTATGAATCAAGAGGTAAAGCATATTAGAAACAGAATCATAACCAGACTGGTCTTTCAGGGAAGTCCCACTAAGCACGCAAAGATGGAAGAGCTTCTAGAGAAATGTAAAGCAGAAATAAGCAAGAATCGTACCCAAATCAAGGACCTAACAGAAGAGAACGAGCAATTGAAAACTTCTACTGTGAGTTTTCCAATGAATTATATTTTTGAAATGTTTATTAAAGATATCCTCTGACGGCTCTTCCGACTCAGCAGAAGCGTTGAAGAAATCGACGAAAGAATGGGAAGAGAAGATGAACGAGGTATGCATTTCAGATGTCATAATGAATAAGAAGCTCTGATCTCAGGCTGAATCGAATCACGCTATTCAACTAGCCACAACAAAAGCAGAGATGCACGGAGCATTAGAGAACAAGGATAGAGAGGTTTAATCGTAAAGCAATTAAATATATATGTTGGTGTTTCCAGATAGAATCTTGGAGAGCCAAATGCAGAACTCTTGAAATCCAGGATGGGCACGCAAACGAAAGATGGCAGAAGAAAGTGGACGAACTTCAAGTAGTGGTTAAGGTTATCCCATAGCTTCACGGCTTCCTGTTAACATGTAACTGTAGGCGTTAGAAGCTGAGAAAACTGATATGGTGGAGAAGCTTTCAACAGCAAAGCAACAAGGTGTTCAAGCCGTACGTGAAGAGGAGCAGCAGAAACGTTCAGATTTAGCTGAAGAGTTTGATGCCAAGGAGAAAGATTTAAGAGAAGAATTGGATAGAAAAATTCAAGCACTCAACAAAGAGCATGAAGCTTTGATCGAAAGAATGGTATGATTGTTATTATCATAATTCGGCAAGAAGGAATGTTTCAGCAAAACGAGTTCAACTCTCAGCTTGACAAGTCAGTAGTAGATACCGAGGAAGCAGAAAAGCAAGATGAACTGGTCAGTCAGTTGAGAGAAAACATTGTCGACCTAGAATCTAAGTTAGCTGAAAAGGTATGTATTTTCAATGAAACAGGAAAACTGTTACTACTTTCTAGGATAATGACATGAAGGCTTCTTTGGATCACTCAACTCAAAGACAGCGCGAAGAAGTTGCCGCTCTCATAAGTGAGCATGAAGAGATAATCAATCAAACAAGACACCAAAGCGAAGTTGAGAGATCTGCTGCTGTTTCTAAGTTTGTAAATGCTTTTTTTCTCATTTACTTGTGATTTTCTCCAGATGGGAACATGCTCAAAGTGAGATAGACCACTTGCGTAAGAAAGTTGATAGCTTGCAAAAGGAACTCGATCAGCAAGGACAAGACAAAAACGAGGAATCCTTCAAAAAAGAGGTTCGAATTAGTTATCAGTCATGAGATATAGTGTTTTCTTGCAGAAGAACCTGAACCAACGTATTGCCGAGTTGCAAGAGAGCCTTACTACTCTTCAGCTGAACTCCACTATTGAAAAGGAAGAGCTAATTTCTAATAACAATAAGGAGAGGAGAACTTTGGATGCCGATGTTCTCAACCTTCAACAAGAACTGGAGAAGAAGACGACTGAACTTCAAGATTTGGAGGAAAAGTAAGTTTTATTGATTTTTCGATGATTGCATACTAATTAACATATTCCCTGATTATCCACGTTTGCACTTGCGCGTTGAAAATTTTATTTCTTCTGCATTCAGTCGCTCATGCATCGGTGGGCTCTCTTCTCTTCTCTTCTTTTCTCTTACGCTACGCGCGTTTCTGAAAAAATGATAATATTTCATTTCCATATGCCACTGTTCCTTTTTTCCGTGAAAATGTAATAGTAATCGAAAATGTGATTCGCTATACGCTATTTTTGGAGTGGGAGCGTTTTATTTTTCCTCTCATGTTCTGCCAGGAGCAGTTCATAGCTTTATTAGCTGTTGTTTATTTCTTTAGGATGTAAAATGTACTAGCTAGTGAGAAATGTATAACATTTTTATAATCCTGCACATCACATTTGTTATTTCACTCCGCAGATAGAACAACCGATAAGTATTTGTGGATGTTTATCCTTTTTCTCCCTAGATGGGTGTCCTATTACTTTTGTTCTCCTTTATGACGCATGAGATGAGATTATGCTCCTTCTGCTGCATGGGCTGCTCAATTTCCGCCCAGACGTTGCATCCTTTGTAACATTCTTTATATTTCAGAGTCCAAATTCAGCAGAGAGAAGCTGATGTGAGAATCAATGAATTAACAGCTATGCTAGATGAAAAAAGCGAAGCTTTACGTAGTTCTGAGGCGGAAAAGATAGAAATTCAGGTTGTTTGTTCATTTTGCGTTTTTTTTTTATTGTGTTGTTCAGAGAGATCTTGAAGCAGCTAGAGAGTTGTCAGCAATCCATGAGCACTTAAGAGAAGAACTTGAAGTTGTTTTGCTCTTTTAAACTATTATCAAACAGATCATTTAGGAAGCTAAAAAACAAAGGGATTCCGTTGAAGTCAAAGTTCTTGAACTAATAGAACGAGCAGAAAAAGCTGAACAGGCTCTAGAAGGTAAAACCGAACAAACTGTGAATGTTTTAAAACATAACCTTTTAGAAGACAAAAAGAGGTTGGCAGCAGAGAAGCTAGAATTAGAGGAGTCTTTCACAAAATCCAATAATACTAGTTTAGAAGCAACGGACTTAGTATCGTTCGATGAACCCGAAGTTTGTTGGAAGTCCACTTTGTTTTTTCATTATATGATTCAAGAAGTATACCTCGCAAGAGTATGAAGCATTGGAACAGAAAAACAACGAGCTTCTGACAATAAATCAGGCATTGAAAGAAGAAATTGAACAGATTCGGAACGCCAGAGACCTATTAGAAGATGAGATAGCTAAACTAGGAGAAAAATATACGGTACAACTGTTTTTCTTTCTCTTCCTTTATTATCAACGTTTAAGGCCGAAAAAGAAGAGGTACATCGTTCTTTAACTCTTCAACTTGAGGAGAACAAAGCAACCCTCCAGCAAACATCTGATGACTTGGAAAAGAAAACTGATGCCGTTAATGTTTTAACTACTTCCAATGACTCCTTAAACAAGAGAGTGTCTGAGCTAGAGGCAAACGTCTGTCTTAATTTATTAATGAGTTGTATTTAATGGTTGCATTGCAGGAACAGCTAAGAGAATCCTTAGAAGCGGAAGTTTTGAAGGTTGTTTTGTCTGTAACCAATGTTTGCCTTATATATCATGTTTAGTTGAAAGAAGACAATCAACAGCTGTCAGTAACGAAAGAAGAGTTTAGCTCGAGAGCTTCATCTGCGGAGGAAAGAATAGCTCAGTTGCAAGCTGAATTGGTATGATCCTGTGATAAAATTCAAAACAAACTTGATTTGCTTTGAAGGATTCTTTTAAATCTTCTCTCACGGGCATAGAAGCTGTGGAAAAGAGATTGACGGACGATCTGCAGAAGAAACAACAAATAATAGATGACCAGAATGCTGATATTCAAAAGTAGTTCATAAACTCGTGATACTCTGAATAACATGGAATTTTAGGAAAGAGAGCGAATTGAAAACTCTCGAGGATGAATGGAAGTCACAAATCACGAAAATGGAAGAGATAGAAACAAAATACAAGCAGTTATCCGAGGAAAAAGACGCAGAGCTATCCAAGGTTAAGGATGAGTTGTCTTCTCTTCAACAAGAAATGGACACGAATAAGCATAACAATGATGAACTGGCATCTAAGGTAAGAATTGTTTGTTTTTAATCTAACGTTGCGCTCTAACTGGGTTCGGTGACGCTTTCAATGTTTGTAGGGTTCACTTTCCACCTCTAAGATTGAAGAGCTCGAAAACCTTAATGAGAGATTGCGCTTAGAATTTATAACGAAGGCGTGTCGCATCAGCTTATTAGTTTGTTTCAATTTCTAATTTCAGGAGAAAATAATTGCTGATCTTCGAAAAAATGTTGATGAGGTGCGTGAGGAGACAGTTAACAAGCAATCGGGATATGAAGCTAAGATCGCCGAAATCCAGGTTTGCTCTGAACACGTTGGTCTTAGATATCTTTTTTTTCAGCAATTGCTTAATTCTGAACTTGAATCTAAGAAAGATTTGTTAACAGCTATGGAAATCAAAGCAACTGAAATTGAGTCACTGAACAAGATGTTGCAAGAGAAAGAAGGCTCTCAGAAACAAGTGTTGGAGGAGGAACAGAAGTTGAGGTAAGTTCTTCTTCTGTTCTTCGTGTTATCAATTACTTAAAGGGAACAATATGCCAGCGCTTTGGAGAATGTGAAAGAACAACTCGAAGAAGCAACCAAAGAGATCGCCTCATTATCGGTTTTAAAATCAGAAAAAGAAAGTCTCGAGAAAGAAATAACTCAGTTGGCTGAAGAACATGCTAAAACTCAAGCTGAGAGAGAAGAAGTGAGATATTACCCTCTTGGTCATGACTATGCCACATTTAGAAATGGAAAGTCGATATTGAAGAGAACGAGCAGAAATGGGAAAGTAAAATTAATAAGATGAAGCAGAACTCTGAGAAAGACGTCACAGCAGCTAAAGCCGAACTAATGCTTGAGGTTTCGTTTGACATGCAGTCATAATATATAAGTTTTCATTTGAAGATTGATGGGCTACGTGCTTCTGCTTCTGAGAAAGATCGTAAGCTAGCTGACTCATCTCTTGAAATATCCCGATTGGAACAGCAGATGATTTCTTTGTCAACAGTTAAGGAAGAGCTAGATGAGAAGAAAGAAAAAGAGAAGAAGGTTTACTATCATGATATTGATGTCAAATTTAACATATTCTTCCTTGTAGGCAACTACCAAGCTAAATGATCAAGAGCACAAGATCATCGAGTTAGAAGCCGATAACAAATTCTTGTCTGATAGAAAGAACGAGTTGGAAGAACAGCGTGAGAGCTTGAATGGAAAGGTTACTGATTTCGAGGCTAAAATTAAAGAGCTAGAAACTAAGGTTTGAAGAATAGTTGGACTAGATAGTAGCCTTCGTACAATTCTAGGTCCAAGAACTGGAAGAGTTGAATGCCGAAGGAATGAGGAAAGCAGCCGCCAAGCAAGATTCTGACAGCAAGAAGGTTTTTTTCAGTTTTCTCCCGTTTATTCTCATCCGATCATCCAGGTTATCCGTGAACTACAGAAAGAAGTGAAGCAACTCTATATGGAGTTGAATGAGAAGACAGAAGCTTTCGATAAACTTCGTGCAGAAAAAGAGGTAGCGAACTCTGACACTGCTGTTTTGAAGCATGTAAACACTCAACAAAAATCGGTAGAAAAAGATTATATGGTGAGTAATGTCAACTCTTTTGTGTTAATAATAGTTCATTACAGTATGAGGAAGAGTTGGAGAACATGAGGAAACGTTTGAATGATTCTCACAAAGAGATCGATCTTCTACGAGAGAGAAATGAAATGCTTCAGAGGAACGTTGATTCTAATAACAAGGTATGTTATAAACACCTTTTCCTTATTATAAGTTTTTCTTCTTTGCAGTCGAGTTCCCCAGCTATGATAAGTGTCAATGGAGATAAACGTAGTATGGGCTATGAGGAACTAGGGTTCGCCCATTCTGCTGAAGCTGAGGTAGGAGTGAATAATGACTAACTAATCTGACTTCCGTTTTTATAGTATTTGAAGAATGTTCTTTACCGTTATATGGCTGAAAGAGAGACATTAGGAAAAGAATGCGTGGTATGTACTTCTCTTAATATATGACTCACTTCAATCATTCTCGTAGACTTTGGCCCGCGTCATTGGTACAGTCGCAAAATTCGACAAACATCAATTGGATGTTGTTCTGAGTAAAGAGGAGTCTAGAGTAGCTACATGGGTAGAGGGAACCGTTTATCAAGTTTCTCATGCTCTCGGCGGTGCTAGATAAGCTTTGTAATATCAATTAGGTTTATTATTTGCAATAACTTCTGTTGTACATAGAATATTCATGTGATATCGGGTTCTTTTGATGGCAACTAACTTTAAAATACTTAGAAATCATATTATAGAGCTGTTAATCAAATCAAACTCATCAAATGTTTAGTTAGGAGAGAGAACCAATTATCGATTCGCATGGATAATCGTGCCTGTGATGCCAATCTGTGAAGAGAATGTGATTTTTAATTTATTCAAAATTAATATAATCTATTAATTATTTTTTTTAATGGGAGTATACTGTAATAATGCTTTACTTTGAATAAAACATAATAACATCTTTGAATGTCCATACATGGGATAGAAAATGATCCTTCGCATACTTTTGAGAGGTCTCGTTATTACCACAATAAAATCGCTTATCAGACATGGACATTGAGACGATCACGTTACCTGGAGGCCAAGTTTTAAAATACCTCAAAGAAAAAGAAGTTGAAAATAATCTCGAAAAACGAGGATTCAAAGAAGATGTTCATCTGATGAATCTTGAAAGATCAGATATCACTACTCATGTATACGAAGGAGGCTTCAAGGTTTTCCAGATCTCTTGTCTTCCCATTGTTCAACATGTTTTCTGTAGGTTTGGGAATGTTCTATCGATCTGTGCAACTTAATCGAGCAAAACAAAGACACTATAAAGGACAAGACTGTTATTGAGGTGTGAGGATAATCTGAAGTTTGAATCAACGATTGCTTCTAGCTTGGATGTGGCGCTGGTCTACCTGGCATTCTGGCATCCATAGTAGGAGCTAAGCATGTTACTTTTCAAGATTTCGTAAGTTCCTAACACACTTTGTTTACGAAGAAAGGAAATTCTGTTCAGAATGATTGTGTCCTGAAATGTTTTACCAGAGATAATGCTTTGCAAAACGAAGTTTTGATAGAAACGATTAGTCTAGTAGGGTGCAGTTGGCAAAACATCGGATTGGTAAAGGAAAAAAGGTTATTTTCCGTATTTTTCCTAATTAAGACGTCCGTTCTCGCTCTTTCAGCTTTGATGTTATTCTTACGTCAGAAACGATTTACAACGAAAATGATTATGAGTCACTTCATTCCGCGTTGGATTATTGCTTATCTGCTGACGGTGTCTGGTATCCTCTCTGCTGTTCCACAAACTATTTTCGTGTCTGATTTTTCAGTTGGATGGCCGCCAAGTTCTTTTACTTCGGACTGACAGGCAGTGTGCCTTCCTTCTTGGACTATGTGAAATCACAGAATGTGTTTTCCGCCGGAATAAAAGTATCAATTGAAGCTTCCGTTCCACGCAAAATTTTGGAAATCAGACGAAAAGCCTAAGCAGGGAATTGTTGTTTTGTTGTTCTTCGTATTTGTTACTTCGCTTCTGCTTAAGCTTCTCCTTGTAATCTCTCTTTCTCTCGTTCTTATTTCTTCTCTCGTCGTTGCCTCCTTCTTTTCTCTCTCTCTCTCTCCCTCCCTCCTCCCTCTCTCTTGCTCCCTCCTCATCTGTGTTAACAAATGGTTTTTAAGTTGTTGAAATGAACAATGAAAATTTTTGAGCGTTTTTCCTTATCAAGGTTTTATAACCAACCTAGTACTTCGAGATATACATGAATGTGAGAATTACCACCTTAATACGATTGTGTATTTCCTTTCCTATCTCAACTATTGGACTGAGTGGTTCGTTTGTTTGCTTTACGTTCGTCAACTTCCTTGCTACAGAAGAGCTTGTGATGCTTTATACGTTTTCCTTCTTCTTCTAACTTTAAACTTCTTCGGAACTAGGACAATTGCCAATTGCTTCCCTATAAATTGGATAAGGGCTGTTGTACTCTACTTAGCAACAAAACAACTCATGACTTCCTTCTTGTTGAAATATCATTGATTACAAAATATTTTCAATTTCTCTCTCTCCCTCCGCACTCTTCAACCTCTATCTGCTTGTGATTTGCTATGAAGTTATTGATTATTTTAGCTTTTTTATAGTTCATTCTTATTCTTTCTCAAAAAACATTTTCAGTACTTGATAAAGCACACGAAAAGAAGGGTCCGATTGATTTTTATGACTCAGGTTCTTCAACTCAAAGTCATGATGCTACTATCGCGAACGATCATATTTCCAGCTCCCATTTTTCTTTTATCTTTTAATCTTATTCAAATACGTATTCAACTCTGAACGCAACTCTCTATCTTTTTTGTGACTTTTCAAGCCAGGGTGGGCCAGCAGAACTGAACAACGAGGCTGCTGCCCATCCAGCTCTTTGTTGTGTTGTTTTTCTTTTTACTCTTTCCTTTCTCTCTCTCTCTCCTGTAACAACATGTTGAATTCTTAGCTTTCAGAGAAAAGTTGATGTCCGGTTATAAGGTTGATCGGCGAAATGTTCAATATATCCTCTCAGACTTGCCCATTATGCCTTCAACAAGAAATGATGCAGCTGATCAACTGTGGGATGACATAGAGACAGAGTTGAACATCGAAACCATTAAGGTAGTCCCATAGCGATCGTGACTCATCCAATTTTTGCTTTTAAGGCTACTGCTGCATTAAATAAATCTAATCCAGCTGATAAACTTATTAACGTTTCTTCCTCTAATGAACTCGAAGATCAATCTTCTAATCCATCATGTTCAATGTCTGAAGAAAACAATTCTCATTCGGGTGATGTTTTTTCTCCAACTAAAAGGTTTGTAAAGGAAAGTCTCCCGTCAAATTGAAATTCTTTTTGTTCAGGCTAGAAAATGCAACGCATCTAGTCCTATTACAGAAAGAAACATTTGGTATGGTTGTGAGAAACAGAGTAGTCGAATGTGAAGATGTTCGGGTTTGTTTTTTTTCTCAAAATTTTCATAAAAGGGAATGTAATCCTTGTAGCTGCCACGTGGTACTATCATGAAACCCGTGAGTCGTGCTCAAGATTTTGCCGCTTTGCTCGGTAGAATGAAGCCATATTGCATTGCGCTGGTGGATATTTTGGATTCATCCACCTTTGCCATCATCAGAGAATCCGATATCATGCGAATCAACGACGATCAAGCATTGTAAAACTTTTTTTGTTCAATATCTCTCACGTTTTGGCTCTTTTTTTTGCAGAATTCTAATGGCCATGTCAGCTGAGAAGCGTTTTCAACTTCATAACGATTTCGAACATTTCGTATTCGTGGAAGGTTTGAAAAAAGGAGATCTAGTGATGGTCAATGCTGAACAGGTTAGAATAACAAAAGCAAATTTTGAAATAAAAGTTTTGCAATCCATACGGAGGCATAAGTGAGGTGTCACTTGGAATTATTCTTTGGAGAAAGAGAAATAGGCTTAAAAATGCTAAATCCGTCATCTCTCTTTGTCTCTAAATCTCTCTTATGCCTCTCTCTAAGTCATGATCTTTGTCTATTTTAATTTCTCTCTGCTTCTCTCTCTATCTCTCTCTGATTTCGTTCTCTTCTCTCTCGAATTTCTTGTTTGTAGAACGTGTCGGAGGACAGTTTTCAAGGAAGGATTATCGAGATTGTGGAAATTGAGCATCGATATGGTCTTTGGTTCTATGTGGAAGTAAGTAATTTCGTATTTTTTTCCTTATCGGTTGCTTACTTTTGAATTTTTTGTTGTTTTTAATTTGTAATTTCCTGATTGTCAGCCATTCTTTTGGATGAGAACGATTAGCTGTTATGCCTGTTGTAACAGCTAAAATGACGCAGAAACTAGTTAGGATGGACGGTGTGCGACGTCTCTTCGGGTGTGAGATGAGAAAGAGAAGCAATAGAATCGATTCATGAAGACATACCAGCTGACACGACTTGTCTTTTCTTTTTATTTTATCCATACAACGAACTCCTAAACAGTTTACAAACGAAAATAATCATCGTTATGTTCGGAGAACAAAAAAAAATGTAATCCCTCCCACATCTCTCTGTGTCTCTCTCTCTAATCTCTCTTCGCTAATTTCATCTCGAAACTAACACCTGTTGTTCTACTTGAAGTTGCTCCGAAGTGTAGATGTCCCGTTTCCCCTCAAGCCTGAACCTCTTTTTCTGTCTCTCTCTTTTTCCCTTCTTCCTCTCGCTCTTTCCCTCTCATCATTTATATCAAAGCAGAGGGAAAATGAGAGGGAGAGAGATAGAGAGAAAGAAATAGTTGAATCCTCCAACACTTTCAGTTAGTCATTCGAAACCGCACAATCCTCACTCGTCTCTCCTCGTCGTCTCGCACTGCGCTTCTGCACAGCCATCGTGTCTCTCCTCCCCCACCCTCGTCGTTGTCGTTGTGTGGCGGGCCATGGTCGTCGACATCGACCACGGCTTCATTTCTTCAGACACGATAGATGGCTCAGTTCAGCTTCTCAGGGGCAGCTTTTGGTAATTATTCAGAGAGAGTAAGGCTTCCTATCCTTTTGAAGGCGGTTAGTCGATTGAATGAGATTGGAAAGATGAAAAAGAGTGTATGTGTATGCTCGTTGGTCATTTCGCTTTTGTCTAAATTGGTGAAGCAAGTATACGACGAGATTCGTTGATACAACGGCTTTCCGGTATATGAAATTTAGTAAAATATTATATAGTTTCTATTGCTCATTATTCATTTCTGTTGTGCTATGTCTGCAGCTATTTACTTGTTGTCCCTATGCTTTGACGAGGCACAAGCATCGATCGGCGTGCCGAGTCAACCCCAATTCTTTCTGTGTTTGTTCCATTTTTTGTTAGTTGCCTATTAATAGTATCACCCAGTTCTGGCTTCTTCGTCTTCTTCGCCATCGTCGTCGTCGTTCTCTTCTCTTCTCCTTCTCCTTCTTCTTCGCTTTTTTGCCATAGTCATTGATTTCGTCAATATACTTTCTTTTATGGCATTTAAGGAATTTTTACCATTTGTGTTTGTTCCTTTTTTACTTTCACCTCTCTCTCCTTCTTTCTCTTTCACTCCTTCTCCTGTTAATTGATGCTGTAATTGACTTCTCGATTTATTTAGCCATATGGAATGAATGAACATGAATATTCTTCTCCTCGACAAGCCTATTATAATGGGTCACAGCTCTCGAAACCAGCTTGGAATTCGATAGCCACTTATGGATATAAGTGAGTTTCAACTGATTCTTCATATCTTTTTGTTTTTAAATCTGTATTGCAATTAATTAATTAAGGCCGACAAAGCCACCCACTGAAGTCCGCAATGTGCCCATCCGACGAGTAGAACATCGTGTTGAAACTGTTTTTGATGCAGATAATTCGTATCATAGACATAGAGTGAATGGAGATGGCAACGAGTAAGTTCTTTTCTTTCTAGTCTTCCTCCTCTTTTTTTTCTTTTCTTAACTTTCACGCACTTGAAGATTCGAAAAAGATCTTACCACATGGGATGGCGAGCTCCGCTCCATAAATGATCCCATGAGAGAATGGCGAAATTCTGGAGAGCATCGAGAGAAACGACATTCAACAACCCGACGTTCCAATAATATCCCGGTTTGTTTTTGTATTTCTTCAACTAATTCGTCTTTTGCCAACTTTTTTCAGAATAATCGCCCTAGCAGCTCTCAGCCGAGCCGAAGTCAAAGTGCACATGTAGTCGCCGTTTATGATCGAACTTTTAGGTTTTTTTTGGCTATTGAGTTTCATTTTGGTTATTTGCGCAATTCAGTGTTGATGACATAACGAAGACGAACGGAGCCAGAGTTGGAGATCGTTGTCGTTGGATTGACGGCGATAAATCCCATTTGGGTTATATTCGATTCATCGGACATCTGAAAGGGCATTCCAATCTATATGCTGGCATTGAATTCGTGCGTTATTCCTTTTTTTGCTTCCCATTCATTGTGTCATATTTAGGATGATGCTATCGGTAGAGGCACAGGTGTCTTTCAAGGTGAAATCGTTTTCCAAACTCCGGAAAATCGAGCTGGATTCGTTCTTTTGTGCTCTTTAGTGATTTTGTCAAGGCCTCGCTCGCAAGATGGAAATCATACTTTCAATATGCGACATAAACAAGTGAGTCTCTCTTCATAAATCTTTGTCATTAGTTTCTATGTACTCTGGACGTATTTTAAGGCTTCCGCGGAGTCCTTATCGGATCCGTTACCTCCCCTCCCTCCACCTGTTCCTCCTGCTCCTCCTATGCGCCCAGAGGACTATATGATTGATTCGTTCTCAGCGGGTGAGCTCTAATCCGATTTATTCATATATTTTAAAAATTATTTTGAAGATAGTTACGTAGAAGTCTGCTATCGAGGAGCTTGTCGTTCAGGAGTTGTACGATGGGTTGGAGAAGCATTGAGTGAGGATAATGATCATCTTCAGAAGAGTGCCATAGTTGAATTGGTAAGATTATCGAAGAATATCCTCCGGAGGACTTTATATTGTCTTTAGGATGAAGATATTCCAGCAGGATGGAGGATAGCGCCATCTTCGAGCTCCAAAGTTTATCAGAGGGCTGTTATTGTGCCAACATCGACGCTTCGAAGAGATAGGAGAGTTCAGTCAAGTTCGGAAGTGGATATGCCCATAAAGAGTAAACTACTTTTCTTTCTTTCCTTGTTGATTTATAATATTTTCAGTCAAAACTGATTTTGGTAGTATTGATAGTGGAATAGAAACTTCTCGTTGTGAGCCATCGAAGATTGTTGATGATTTGTTAGGTCGTATGAAAGGGATACAAGGACATAGGAATAGTTGTTATATTGATGCAACTCTCTATGCCATGTTTGTACAAACAACAGCTTTTGACTTGTAAGTTCTTTCATATGGAGCTTGTGATTGATTGGCCTTCGTTTTTCTTTCAGCTTATTGGAAAGGCCAACACAACGGGGTGATGTTCCTCAATATTTTGAATTTGTTAGAGTTTTATCCTCAGAAATAGTATATCCGTTGAGAAAGTAAGGATGAAGTTGTCTTTCATTGTATAGCTGCTTCCTCTTTCAGGTTTCATTATGTTCGAGCTGATCATATCATGAGATTACGACAACTATTATCAGAAATTCTTCCTCACATTAAAGGGTTAACGAATGAAGAGAAAGATCCCGAAGAAGTACTGGGTGAAGTCTTCCGTACAATTCTAAAAGCTAAACCATTCCTTGAAATAATGTGAGTTGCTTAGTTTATCTTCATCAAGTCAATCTTCACTATGTTCTAGAAATCTCAAAGATAACAAAATTGATCGAACATATCTGTGTCCTTTGATTGTGGAGGATTGGCAAGGAGGTGTAGCCACAACACAACATCTTCTTGAGCGTTCCATGAAGGGTGCTGGTGTCAAGTTCGTCTTCCCTCCAAAGCTTCTCATCTTACAGGTACAGCACTATATTCTATAAGCTCTAACTGATCTCTCTATGTTTCAGTTGCCTCGATATGGTCAACAAAAGGTTTTTGACAAAATTCTTCCTCTTGAACGGATTGATATTACGGGTCTTGTACATAATGGTTAGTGAAAATGTCATTCTTCAATTCAATTTCTCTTTTAAAGCTGTGCAACAATGCTTTTCGTGTAATAAACCAGCAGAAGGGATGTGTCCCGAATGCTTCTTGTGCAAAAGAGTTTTCCTTACAGAAGTGAGTTCCTTTTCTCCAGTCTAGTCATAAGCTTCTTCTCCAGGTCTCTTTTTGTGTGAACTGTTTTAAAAAGAACCATCTAAATGCTGGTGAAGGTGATCATCATATGCGGGAATTCTATCCAAGTGCTCGTCCAGTCAAAAAGGCTCATGTTCATAAAATGGTCGGTTTCATCTGAATTCAACATTCAATTACCTGTCATTTCCAGACTTTATCTGCTGTTCTTTGTATCGAAACGTCTCATTATGTGGCATTTGTTCGTCATGCTAGCACTGGCCGCTGGCTATTCTTTGACTCCATGGCAGACAGGGAGGGCTTAAGTGAAGGTTTCAATGTGCCCAAAGTGAGTTTCGTTTCTTGTGTCGATATGAAAAGATCTAATGATACGGCTCATGCTGTGCTTTGAATGCCTTCGTCATATGATATCTTCTTCTAGGTGTCTGAATGCGAAAAGATGTCCTGGTGGCTATCAAGCGCTGGCTGGGATAAGCTACGTATGGCAGACCAAATTGGATGCACTAATGTAAGATCACAATCACTAATGTCATCATACTCACCTCACTCTATTAAGACTCTGTTTGGTAAAGGAAGTGACATGGATCCACTAGTAACACGCTTGCTTTCTGACTCATACATCTGCTTTTATCAAGAAGAATCTTTTCCACAATCAACAAGCACTAATTTAATAACCAATGTCCTACAAAAAATGAAAATGTAGACATTTTCCATGCTGGGAGTATCTATGTATGTATATGTGTGTATAGGCTGTAAGAGCGGTGCTTTCATCGTCATGGTTAGTATTGTTTAAGAATTGTACTGCTGGTAACGCTTTCATCGCTTTTTTTCGGTAGAGATTTCTAGTTATAGCTATATGTATATACGCAGCAGAGCTGATAGATTTTTTTATATCAAATTTTATTCAAAATTTTATATATATATATATATAAATATGTATATTCATATGATATATATAACTTATATTATGTGTTTCAATTGTTTGAGATTATCTAATGAGAATTGTTGCCACTTCCCACGGGAATTATTTGTAGAAAAGTGTATTGAATAGATTAATGAAATTTTTTTATACTCTGACTCGCAGAGAATCAATAGTTCGCATCGTTAAATTTCTCTGAAAAGAGTTCGGCATCAGTGAATGATGATGATGATGATGATGATGATGATGATGTCTAGCCTATATGCATTGCACTGAGCTGGAAATAACCGTGTTTGCGTCTGTGAAAATACAAATGATAACGCCATGCGCTTTTCCACGTGCCTCACGGAATCTGCGTCTCTTCGAGTATGCTAATATCTAGGTCTATGATGAGTGCCCTACTCGTTAGTTACGTGAGTGACCATCTCATCCATTATTTCTAAGTATTGTCAGTTGTCAGAGAAATCAACACATCCACCCAATGTTATTCAGACAGAACTTGTCTGACTGCCAATGTTTGGATTAGTCTCTGTCTTGTCGGAAGAAAGGCATTTGCAAGGAAGTTAACGAAACAAGCGAATCTTTAAAAAGAATCATCTGAATATAGAACTGCTGTAAGTGGAATGCGGGTCTCTGTGGGTGTGGTAGTGTGTGTATGTGTGTGTATATATTTGAGATGATTTTATTTTTTTTTGAATAGTACGACGTAACTGTATTTGTATGGATAAAAACGCTAAATATACATTAAAAAAGAAAAAGTTATTCGTAAAAATCGAAACAGTAATGTGAATATTATTGAAGGGAAGGGAAATATATTAAACTTATGGTCATGGTAACTCGAGGATGACAATTAAAGCCATATAAATGCTTTTTCAAATTATTGGAAAAGAAGATGATGATAATGATGCAGAAGAAGAAGATGAAGACGAAGAAACTCATAATTAACAACATTCGGCTGATGAAGAACATAACTGTAGTTCAATAATAATCTAATTTTCTCCGCAATATCGAAAGATAAACAGCATACACACACATGCTCAACTTGTTTGAATGATTAAACAGCATTGGCAGGATATGCGAAGTTTTTTTATTTGAAATGGAATTGTGCGAAATATGTACGAAGCATGTTTTCCTTATTAAGACAAGTGTTTACGTGGAAGGGAGAGAGGGTGACGCGAGAAAAAAAGCATGGGACGGCTTGCATGCTTCTGGAGAGATTTTATGGTCAGAGAGAGAGAAAGAAAGAGAGAGAGGGAGAGTAAGAGAGTAAGAAAGAGAGCAGAATTACAACTGGAGCAGTAGGAGTTTACTGTTGATTCTCCTTAAGCGCTCTGAACATCCATCTGTGCAGCTTCTTCTGTCATTCGTTTATGATGAAGCTCAGCTTCCTGCCAAATGAGTTCCTTCAGCTTTTCTTTAGGAAGATCATCGAGCTCCATTTCATATGTGAATGGCTCTTCACATACGGGCTGAAGTTACATTTTCAAAATTCAATAGCATTTGAAGAAATAATACCTCGTCATTTGGATCGTAATACTGCTCCAAATATGGATGAGCCAGAGCATCTTCGATATTTATTCTGGAATGATTGAAATGGAAATATCTTGACAGATGAAATAGACAGACCTTTTGTGTGGGTTAAACGTCAGCATTCTCTCTAATAAATCTAAAGCCCTAGGATCTGCTCCTGGATACAGCCTTGACCAGGGTTGTTTAGGCTTATGTGGCAATGATATTAAATAGGAACGAGCCTGCAAGAGATGAAATATTTTTCCAGATCATATAATCAACAAAACCTTGTCATTAAATATGCATTGGAGATCTTCTTGTGTTGGAGATCCAATGATTGCCAGGATAAGATTAAGCTGATCCAAATAATGTTTTCCTATAATATGGCGGATGATTTTGAATGCTTTGGAGGTAAGCACCTGGAAACAGGGGTCTATTGCTGATCATCTCAGCCAATATGCATCCAACAGACCAAATATCTATAGATTTCGTATATCCCTTAGAATTTAACATAATTTCTGGTGCACGATACCATCTGTAAAGAAATTGGTTACTCGGCGCATCGTTTGCTCCATTTGAATATGATGAACGCGGATTAGCATAAACCACACGCGCTCATTGTTTTAATTCATTTTTCGTGTTTTGAGCGCATCAATCGGTTGAATGATATGAATTATAAGATTTGAAGCGAAAAATATTCAAAATAATTCAAAAATAGAGAAAAATAAACCTAGTAGCCACATATTCAGTTAGGAAGCCAGTGTGATCAGTTTGTGGATCTGTAACACGTGCAAGTCCAAAGTCGCAAATCTGAAGAAGAATAGGATAAAGGGAGGAGTTGATAACAACAAGCTCACTTTCAGATCGCAAGTAGTATTTAGAAGAAGATTGGAAGGTTTTAAGTCGCGATGAAGAACGTTAGCTGAATGGATATATTTCAATCCACGTAAAATCTGAAGAGCAGAACATGAGAGTATGAAAGCTAAAGCTAATGAACTTACTTGATAAAGGAAATAACAAACATGATCATTAGATAATTTCTGTGTTTTTATTAACTTGTAAAGATCTGTCTCCATCACACATTGAACAATATAACTGAAAATGAGTTTGTGACGTTGATGTCTAAGGTCCTAAAGGCTACTCACATATCTTTCATCGTGTCAACAGAAGACGAACGAATAATTTCTTGGATATTAATGATCTACAAAACAATTTCTTTCAGTAAACTCATAAGATATGCGTAGAATGCTCACATTTTCATGTTTGAACCTAGTCAGGATTTTTATTTCACGAAGAGTTCTCTGGCAAAATGTTTGGTGCTCAAACGGAGAGATTTTCTTAATGGCTACACGCTCACGAGTTGTCGTATCCAAAGCTGATCTGAAGTAAAGTGAAGCTAATTGAGCTCAAATTTTAGTTATTTTCCTAATAAGAAACAACTCAAGTTTCGTTTTTGTCTGATGTTTGCAAGCTTAAGTTGTAACTCAAGTGAAAACTGTGTTGACATTTGAAAAAAACAACTTCATGTCACGTTCTATCCATTAGAACAATGAAAGTTTATGAAAGCTGGGTAGTAAGAGGTTTTCATGTTTGAATGGAACAAAAAAAGCTTTCAAACTAACTTCAAAAAAGGTTTTCTTTGATGTTCATAAATGGAAACTTACACGACCATGCCATAGGCACCCTCGCCGATGTACGAGAGATTCACATATCGAGGGAATACTTCGAATAACTGTCCATGAACTTCCTCCACGTTATTTCTCGTCGATGACTGCTCTTCCGTCATCTGTAACAGCAATAATTGAGTAACAAGCTATATTAGCGGTAAAGAGAACGAAAAGTTTGAAAGTTCACAGAGTTAAGAGGTTGCCATGGAGATAATGATCATATTAGGTTGTTCATATACTTTCCGGTGAAATGGGCAACGCCCACAAAACTGCGCGTACTACAGTTACTTTGCGTACATATTTTGAATCCTCTCCTCTAACTATGAATATCTGTATGAGATGAGTAAAGAAGAAGATGTTTCCCCTAAGCATTCTTCAAACACAACTTTATAGCAGCAAAAAACGCAAAAAAATAGGAAAAGAGACAAGATGAGAGGCGAAGCAGAGAGAGGATAAAGAGGGAAATGACAACTTTTGAGGAAATCTAATTTCGCAAAAATCAGAACATTCACGAGAATCTATATATACAAGTATGTATTTGTATGTGAAAAAGAGTAAATATTACTTTTTTAAAATAGGCCACAACCAGATCTCATCGTTTGTTGGAATATTTTAGGCAAAAAAAAACAATGGGACAGTAGATGGGAAAAGGTGTATGAAGAGCCTTCGTTAACCGTATGAACATGTACGGGATAGATTGGCGGGGGGGGGGGGGGGGGGGGGGGGGGTTACGACCCTGGGGGGGAAGGACAGTATGTGGACAGGAGTTAGGCGGGAGGGGGGGGGGGGGGGGGGGGGGGGGGGGGGGCAGAGAGGTGACT